TATTTAAAAGTCTCAAACCATAATATTCTTCCTATACAAACAGTTATTCACTATTTGGTAGAGCAAGGTCAACTGTCAAATTTGACACATTTTTCGATGATCTCACTGGTTAGCGTGCATCGTCTCTCTTTGGATCTCAATATTTTCCCACTAGATGGCCAATACCTAGTGTTTTGGAAGTAGTTTGACGCGCAAATGTATGATGTCACCATTTCAACCATCAACGAATGCATGGAACTAAAACAAAGCTTAATATAAAGAAAAAACTAGAGAGGTGACGGAATTACCCACGATGTCGGAATATACCGCATTTACCCTACTATACCTAAGTAGACCACTAAGACCAGTAAAGTATCATTGTACCTGGATATCAGCATTATCATACAATACAAAAGAAATTGGTTTAAATATTAAGTAGATGAAATAAATAATAATGAACTGATTTTACTAAATCTGTGGTTTGTCACTATGGTATTTATTGATTAGTTACTGAAACTGATGCAAAGTGTTGAACTGAGTAAATTTGCCTCTAGAGTCTAGATGAATGTCAATAGAAATTATTATTTTGGACAGGTAATAATTGCATTCAAAGTCTATTAATTCCATCTTGAATAAGAAAATTCTGAAGCTGTTTAATTGGAAATAATAGATCTCAACTGAATTTCTGAAAAGCTGACATGCTAACTCTAGGACTTGGGAGTCCATAGGACCATTAGTCCATAGCTACCTAGGTGTGCAATCTTCAAGGAAATATTTTGGGTTGACCTGTTGTTATTACATTCTGCAGGGAGTGCAGGATATTTTGGCAGGAATGTTGGGTAAACATACCATATTCTGACACATTAAGGACGTTCCAAGAAATGAATGGCTATAAAATGATCACTGTATGCGCAACTCTAGTTATAATTACTTTATGTCACTCTCAAAACACCACACTACGCGCCAGCAACAATAAAACGTCGCAAACTTTTGCCATATTTATTTAAAAGCCTTTAGAATTCAAATCTACAAAATCCCTGAATTCTGACGCTCTGTGTGACTAAATTTGGCATATTGCGAGACTAATTCTGACAGCGCTTCAAACTTTTACGAATTCGTAATTCGGACGCCCTGTGTTGGAATTTCGACGCCCTGTGTGAGCTGTATCAGAATGTGACACAGCTCGGAACAAGCTTAATTAAAAAATTTTAATTTTTTAATTAAGAGCTATTAGGCTTTTAATTAAAAAATTTTAATTTTTGAGCACAGCTCGGAACAAGCTGTGTGTGTCCAATTCCAAGCTGTGTTGGAATTAGTTTTTGTGTCTAAAACCATCTCTTAACTTAATCATCTATTAATTTATTTACCACTTAAAATCAGCAAATACAAGCATACATAAAGGATTCCTAATATATTCACAGACTTATTTAAAAGTCTCAAACCATAATATTCTTTCTACACAAACAGTTTATCGCTAATTGGTAGAGCAAGGTCAAGTATCAACTTTGACACGTGTTTCGATGTTCTCACTAGTTGACTTGGACTTTCGCTCTGAATGGTCTGAGGATCTCAACATTATCCCGCTAGACCTAGTGTTTTGTGGGAATCTGGCGCGCAATAGTATGACGTCACTATTTCAACCATCTATGCATGCGTGGAAGTAAGACAAAGCTTAATATAAAGGAAGAAGTTGAGAAGTGTCAGAATTCCCAATGATGTTGGAATATGGTGCGTTTACCCTAATAGGGTAAACGCACCATATTCCAACACTGTCACAAAGCTTAATATAAAGGAAGAAGTTGAGAAGTGTCAGAATTACCCACAATGTCGGAATATGGTACATTTACCCTTGTACTGTGGGTAATTCAGACACCCCTCAACTTTTTCCTTTATACCTATTAAGCTTGGTCTTAGTTCCACATGTGCGTAGATGGTTGAAATAGTGACGTCATACGGTCATACTATTGCGTGCCAGATTTCCACAAAACACTAGGTCTAGCGGGATAATGTTGAGATCCACAGAGCGAAAGTCCAAGTCAACTAGTGAGAACATCGAAATATATGAAAGTTGATAGTTGACCTTGCTTTACTAAATAGTGATAAACTGTTTGTGTAGAAAGAATATTATGGATAGAGACTTTTAAATAAGTCTGTGAATATATTGGGTGTCCTTTAAGTATACTTGTATTTGCTGATTTTAAGTAGAAGATAAATTAATAGATGATTGATTTAAGAGACGGTTTTAGACACGTAAGAACTAATTCTGACAAAGGGTGTTAGAATTACGACACACAGGGTGTCGTTTACTGTCATATTCTGATACAGCTCACACAGGGTGTTGGAATTCCAACACAGGGTGTCAGAATTACAATTTTGAAACGCTGTTGGAATTAGCCTTGCAATATGCCGCATTTAGTCGCAGCACAGTGTCGGAATTCAGCAATTTTGTAGATTTGAATTCTAATGGCTTTTAAATAAATATGGCAACAGTTTGTGACGTTTCATCATTGCTGGCTTGTAGTGTGGTGTTTTGAGTGACGTAAACCACTCAGAACTTGAGTTGCGCACATGGTGATCTATTTACAGCCATTTATTTCTTGCTACATCCTTAAGGTGTCTGAATATGGTGTATTTATCCTACTGCAGATTGTGCCATCATTGCGGAAGTTGAAAATTTTATGAAATAACACGTTTGCGAAGTACAAACTGAGATTTTTTCAATCAAATGAAAATGCATAACATTAGAGCCATAAGATTTAAACCTACTGAAATTTCGGGACAGTTTTGAGCGTTTTTTTGTTGATAACTTCTTATGATGATATATTTCACAAACAAGTTTAGGCTCATTTTATAGCTCTTTGCGAGGGCTATTGAATGGCATTGTCAAAAAAATTCCATATGCTATTCGTAAGGTGCCAGAAGCAAAAAAAAAGTGTCCCGAGTAGCCTCGTCAAATGGGGCTACTCGGGACACTTGGAATAAAACTTCATTTTAAAACATTTGAAGCACGCAGAGCGTACTCGTCCATTACTAACAGTACTCTGAAGTCCTCCTCTTTCATTGTAGATGATGTAGAGGTAGAATAAATGACATTTTCTGTGATTTTTACTTGTTTTTCTTTCCTTTATTGATATGATATACCATATACATTAATTAACGTATTATTGATGTGACATTATCGTATTATTGATGCAATATTACCATATCCATGAACATGCCATTGAGCATTTACAACAACCTTGCCCACTGCAAGCTTCATATCAGCAGCCTTATAGCATTTTTTCTGTATCTGTAAGCTTACAGGACGGCTTGTAATTTCACACCATTTTAATTACGTTAGGCAAATTTACTATAAAAAAAATCGTGAAAAACATACCTGAAACAGAAATTAATGTTTTAGTGGCAACCATCATATGTTTTGGAGAGATAAATCATAGTTTAGGTCAATTACTTTTCATTCTATGATGCCTGGTGCACAATTCTATATATGACATTCCATGCACAATTTTGTGATGGCCGATGATGCACTAATTTTTAGATAAGTGAAATTTTTTGCTGAGCGAGGTAAATGACTAAATGTAATAAATATTCTTTGTTTTTAATCAATTTTTTTCTTAACTGAAGCCTTTGCTAACTGGGGTTCTACTGTAAATGCGTTTTTGGTGGTGTCCCGAATAGCCCCGGGGGGGTGTCCCGAGTAGCCCTGCCGTGCGGAAATGGTCGCCATTTTTTTTGGAATGAGATAGGACAATTCTGTCAATTACTTTTTCAAGCCTACACCTGGGTGCATCTTTTATGTAAGTACCTACTTTTATGTAAGTAAAATTTTTTAATACGGCGAAAAATTTTTTTTTGCTACAGATCTTAGCAGAAGTAACTTTTCAAAATAGCATTTTTCACCATTTTTTTTCATGAATTTTTCAAAGCTAGTATATAAATGTAGTATTTTTCGACTTCCTTTATACTACATAGATAGGAAAAATGTTGTCGTTTATGCCACTATATTTAGTTTTGCAATATTCCAATTAGTTTTGCTACTATAACAGTTTTACGCCGTGTCGGAGGACTCTCCCGAGTTACCCCGGTTGACGGTATATATATAAGATTTGTTCTTAATAGGTTTCTATGAGGTTTTAACAAAAATAAAAATATAGTAGTTTGTCATTATTTATACGTACATTTTACTCTATTACCCCTGTAACTCAGGACAAATTCATTCAAGCAGTTATAATATTTCTTTAGTGTGAACTTCTTGATCATTTTTATAAATGCTGTCACTTTTTCAGAGTTCCAGCTTGGTATTTACAGGTAGGACTTTTTCAGTTAGAATATTAGGTAGGAATATTAATATTCAATTCCTAGAATTCACTTAATTACCATGAAAAAACCAGCACAAATTCCTCAGAAAAAAGAGAAGGAGCCTCTTCTCATCTCGACAATGAAGACAACCAGCAAGAAAAAGAAGCCCTCCAAGGTGAATGTAAAAGCCATGCAGTCAATGCTTGATAGTTCACTGATTACCTCAAATGTTCCCTTGAAGATAAGTTTTAATAAACCTTCAGTTGCTGTGAAGTCAAAGGATGTGAAGAAAAATGACTCATCTCAGCCTCCAAAAGTCAAGAAGAGTGAGAACATGCCACCTGTTGTTGGGTCTTCCAGCAGTTCTGCTTCAGGCGTAAAAATGAATGGCTCAAATAAAGCGTCTGTAACCAAGGCACCCGTTCCAGTTGTTAGTCAGCCAAAGAAGAATCAGAAAATTGCTACCACAACTAATGCAGAAAATAGACACAAGAATGTTCTTCCTAGAACTAAACCTTTTTCTGATGCTAGCATAAAGCAAAATATCAATTTGGAGCAGAATGAAGAAGTAGGAGTAGTGCAGAAATTGGTTAAAAAAATTAAAGATGCTCAAAAAGGTAAAAAAATTGATACAATTAAGACTAAGTCTGAAAACTTGGCTCAAAAAACTGCAGAAGTTTGTGACTCTGATGTTTCTACATCTAAAAGTCAATTAAAAAGTAATGACGGCAAGTCTGGAAGTAAACCCCTGAAGAAATCAAAGAATATTGAAGAAGTGTCTATTTTAACAGAATACAATGGCTCCTTAAAGAAGAAGTCAGTAAAAAGTAACAATCAAATGCAGAAAAGCCTTGTGAAGTTACCATTGAAGAAACTTGGGAATATTGAGCCCTGTAGTTCATCTCAATTGCCCCTCTTGAAAGTGAAGAAAGATAAATCCAAGACTTCAGAGAAGAAAGCAGTAGAAACAAAGGTGGTGGAACCCAGCAAAGCACAGCCAAACAATGAGAAAACCAAGCTGGAAAATGATATTGAAGCATTCATTGAAGCAAGCCAGGAACACTTCCAACCCAAACCTAAGCACCTAGTTTTATTGAACAGGAAGACTATCACCGAATCTTCAGAAGATGATGCTCAAAGTCATGAAGAAGCTTGCCGTCAGTATCCTATTGTTCCTAAAATTGTAAGTAGTTCCACGAGCAAGGGAGTTATTTCTTCCAAAATAATAAAGAAGGTTCTTGTGAAGGCTAACAAAAAAGTGAAAAAGATTGCCAAGTCAGAGCAATCTGTTCAAAATGCAGAGACTTTGCAGAAAGTTGAGAAGCAGTCTGAATCTCTTGATGATGGAAAGCCAACATTTGCAAGCATTATGAGTGAAGCACTACTTGCAAAGACATCTGTTCAGAGTGAAGAAAAAGCACTTGAAGAGAAAGAGGTAAGATTTATTATATAAATTCAAGTAACTTGAAGGTATCTATGATTTTCCTGCATAATTTAATTTTTTGGGTGAATATTTAAAGTAAATAAATCATATTCTATTATATGCTAACTGTTGCTTTAAGTATAATTTTCAGCCTCCTGGAAATTTTGAAGTTTTAGGCAATTTTATTTTTAAGCTAAAGTATTAACATCTATCTTCTCCCATTTTATTTTGAGCATGTATAATCTTTTTCTAAGCTTATAATGGTATTTGCAGGCTTTGAATGGTGTGTGCAGGTTTGTTCTCCATGATTCATCACTATTTGTTTGTACATGAGGTGGACGATTCAATTTTTACTGAAATAAACTTATATTGTTTGGTAAACATTTTTTTTCTGGCAGTAACTTGATAGGAAATGATTTAATAGAGGAAATGTACAAATATTCTCAACTTCATGCATGTTTTAATTGATTGTTTGCTATTATTGTAGAATGTGGCAGCTGATGCACCTCAGCTTGTAGCTGCTAAGCGCCGGCCTGGAGCTGTGTCTCTAGAGGAGAAGCAGGCTCGGCTAGCTGAGCGTGAAGCTGCCAAGAGGAAGGCTAGAGCTACCAAGAGGAAAATAAAGAATGCCCGTCTAAGAGGACTTGACCCGGCCCTCATTATCTTACGAGATGAGATCTCCTCTCCAACCTTGCCACGGAAGCGTGTTGTTGAGATCCTTGCTAAACTCACCGTCTGCAGTGAAGAAGTAAATATTTTTAAGTATTTCTTAGAAATGAATTGAGATTTCAGCTATTGGTTTATATATTGATTGTCATTGCTTTAATATGTATTGAATTACTCTTGATATTACCGAGTAACTTATTTGAATGGTAATAGGAATTTCAGTATAATTCCATGGTACCATGAAAGCTGCTAGTCATATTTTATTATTAACTTATGTTCCTTATCTTCCACAGAAACTCAACTTCCAGTGGGCAGTGGAGTGTGCTGGTTTTCTTTCCAAGTTTCCCACAAACATCTCTGCTGCCAGAACATTCTTCCTGATGTTTGAGAGGATCATTCATTTGTAGGACAGAGTATTGTATTCTTTTATTCTGGTGACACTTCTATGCTCTCATTTACAGTGTAATATCAATGTTTTAGCAATTTTTATTACATCTGATATCTCCTGGATGCCTTCAACTATGAGTCTTTCCTTTCTCTTCTTTTTATAACATTTCTCTTTAATTACACTTCTTGTTGTTTGTTTGTCTGCTACAAATCTTTTAATCAATATTTAACACACTTTTACTTGTCCAATCAATCTGAAATTTTGCACACTTGCGTAAAGCTGGAGATAATGCATGAATCAATTGACAGAATGAACAATTTTTAAAATGTATAGGTACACTTTGTTTAATATTAGACAAAATTTTGAATAAATTTTTTAAATAAATAAAAATTCATTGCAAATGTGCAAAATTGGAGACACTGGCCTCTTTAGAAGTGTTGTCTTTAAAGATAATTTTTAGACGCATATTATTTCTCAATGTTGTTCATATAAATTTCATGCAACTAAAAACGAATGAAAAAGTTGGCATTCTTCCCTGGCTCTCCTGTCATGTTAATGCCTCCCTGGCATTATTAATGCAGGGGCTGTGAGAAGATTATGATGGCTGTAATAGAATTTTTAACAGCCAATTTTTTTTTCAGGGGCTGTGAGAAGATGATGCTGGCGTAATAGAATTTTTAAAAGCCAATTTTTTTTCAGGGGCTGTGAGAAGATGATGCTGGCTGTAATAGAATTTTTAAAAGCCAATTTTTTTTTCAGGGGCTGTGAGAAGATAGTGAAGGCAGCATATAGCAGCCCTGGCTTAGTAACGCCTGGTGTTGTGTCGGCTCTCCTTGTGCTCTTCTCCAGGATGCTTTCTACCATCATTGGAGGCTCCTCGGTATGATATGAGTCTTATTTTGTTAGAATGAAACATTCTTAACATTTTTAGTGCTGCATTTTGTTACCCTGAATTTTTCTAACATCATTGGAGGCTCCTCAGTATGATAAGTCTTATTTAGTTATAATGGAACATTCTTAACATTTTTAGTACTGCATTTTGTTACCCTGAATTGTTCTTCCATCATTGAAGGCTTCTCTGTTCTATAATTCATTTTTAATTCTAATGAAATAGTCCTGAAATTTTTAGTGCTGTTATGTAGATGGCATGGATTGACTTGTATTTGTGACCATTATTGTGCTCTTTGTGTGTGGTACATGTGCGTGTTTTATGTGTCATTATTGCCCACTTTAATTATTTCTTCAAAGTCTTTGTCCTTTTCACCTGAATATTGAAGGATATTTGTTCTGATAAAACCCAATATTTTAAGGTTCCATATTTTGATGACGATTGTGCGCTGCTCACGAAAATGTTGATGTTTTCATGGCATAATGTTTCAAATTTTGATGGTAATTTCTAACAGGAATTCCACAGCAAAATGGCATCTTTGACCGGCATGGTGGCTGCAGCCTGGATTGACTTGACTGTCATGTAAGACAATATTTAATATCACTCTCTGAAGTGAATATGTATAACTTGAAATTAAACTAGAATTTGTACTCTTCACATATATATTTAGTTCATGAGCTAATTTCTAGCTAATAAGCTAGAAATTTAGTTTTCTCAATTCGTTAGTTTTTAGTTTTTCTCAGAAATAGTTTTCTCATTTTTCTCAACATTAATAACATTTTTCTGCATCAAATCGTATGTCAATGAGCTCTCATATGCAAAATTTTTCTAGTGCAACAAAATATCTTGATAGGAATATTGTGTCTTGTTATTATCTCAGTGAATTTTATTTCTGAACTGCTTTTGATTTTCAGAAGCCAGGAGGGAGTTCCTATAGATGACGACGAGGACGAACTGAAGGCCGTTGCCAAGCACATCCGTGATACCATCATCACGCCTCTGTGTCAGTTGCCATTTGTGTCACTAGTCTGTTACTTTGTCTCTGGCAGTTACTACTTTCAGCTTCTGTGTCAGTTGCCATTTGTGTCACTAGTCTGTTACTTTGTCTCTGGCAGTTACTACTTTCAGCTTCTGTGTTAGTTGCCATTTGTGTCACTAGTCTGTTACTATGCCTCTGGCAGTTACTACTTTCAGCTTTTGTGTTAGTTGCCATTTGTGTCACTAGTCTGTTACTTTGCCTCTGGCAGCTGCTACTTGTAGACTTTCTCTGTTACTGTGCACTTTCCTGTTAGTTAAAATTCGCGTCACTAGCCTGCCTCTTTGTTGCTACACTTAGAGCTATTAGTTACAAGTCTTGTCACTTCTCTGCCATGTTAATGACTGCGCTTCTTGGAGAGATTACTTAGCTGTACCTGTACTCTGAACTTTAAGCAAAGTGATGGAATTGAAATATTATGTTACTACATTTCTAGAAAATCTAATACATTAATAGCTTCATGACTACTGTAAATATCGAATATTAGGATTAGTCGCCTATACCCACCGTGAATATCATATATATTTAGTACCCCATAGACTCGTGATCACCGCAAATACTGTAAAAAAGAAGGACCTTGTATCTTGTAGTATAAGTTCTCCCGCTGATTCCATGATATTGCAGCGTCCGTGGAGCTGCTGGAGTGCGGACTGGATGCCCTGCTCTGCTCCTATACCCTTGCTGACGACGACCACAGAAAGCTGGCTAGAGCTCTTTGCGGGTATGGCTTATACTACGAAATTAATTATAAGTAAAAATTATTCTCCAATAACTTATTAATATATATAGTATCATCTAAATGATTTCTATCAAGAGCTGTTTACGAGTATGGTTTTACATTATCCTTCGAAATTAATTATTTATACCTAAACATTATTATCTAAAAACTTCAATTTATTTTCAACGCAAAAATTGAAAAAGACATGTCAGCCAATCAAATTAGTGACTGCGATGAAATAATGTTTCATTCTTTTTTTTTTACTGAAACGGGTGGCAACTGGTTAATTATGCTTTGGAATTATTGTCTAGGAACTAAAATTTTTATTTAAAGTTCTTTGCGAGTATGGCATTTTCAATGGTTCGTGTGTGGTACAATAACGCTTTACTTATTTACTACGCTAAGTCATGAGGCAACTATTTAATAATACTTAGTAATTACTATATTTGAACTATTACTTATTAAGCTCTTTTGAATGAGTTGAGAATAGCAAGTTTAGCAATTTAAGTATCGGCTAATGTAGCCACAAAAGGTATTGTTTTTCTAAAATACTCTATTTTAGCTTTTTTCAGTGATTGCGTGTCAAATAAATGATACCTACTGGTACTTCACTTGAGCTTGTGACAATGGTTGGTGGAATCATTATTAATAATTTTATCTCTTTTCACAGAAAGTACCTGCAAAAGATGCTGAACCCTAATATGGAAGTTCCCATGAACGTGCGACCTCGACTTCCTGTCGTGACGTACGTCAAACTGCTGTGCCTCATCAAGCATCTGCACAACTTGCAAGTCAAAAACAACGTCAGTAAGCCTTGATAAATTTGATAGAGCTGGTAACTAAGATTTTTCATAGGTATATATTATTGACAATTTAATAAAATTATTCAAATCTATTCTATGTGTTAGTAGCAGATGAACATCACCCAGAAGATGTCCAGATCCTTTCATACTAGAGTGTCATAGATTGTTCCAAATTATGTTTCATTAGATGTTGGCAAGTATTAGCTATCATCCTGTGATTTAGAGCACGGTTGCTGCGTCAGCTGCTGAGCTATTACCTCAGCACCAGACTCTAATAATGAGCATCATTATTTGAATCAGTCTCTAATAATGGAGTTTTTTTTATCATAACTTGCCCTAACGTGTGCTGATCAAGATATGTCTAGGTACCGTTGCTTGCCAATATATCATAACTTTATTAGGTCTGCAGGTCAAGACTTGTCTACCTTACCTTGTCAATATATCATAACTTGCACTAACGTGAGTAGGTCAAGACTTGTCTACTGTAGCTTGCCAATATATCATAACTTGCCCTAACGTGTACAGGTCAAGACTTGTCTACCGTAGCTTGCCAATATATCATAACTTGCCCTAACGTGTGCAGGTGAAGACTTATCTACCGTGCCTTGCTAATATATCATAACTTGCCCTAACGTGTGAAGGTGAAGACTTATCTACCGTGCCTTGCTAATATCATAACTAACTCGCACTAACGTGTGCAGGTGAAGACTTATCTACCGTGCCTTGCTAATATCATAACTAAGTCGCACTAACGTGTGCAGGTGAAGACTTATCTACCGTGCCTTGCTAATCTATCATAACTAACTCGCACTAACGTGTGCAGGTGAAGACTTTTCTGTCGGAGTTTGTGAAGCAGCACAGCTTGCCACGTGAGCCCCACGACCTGGTGTCCTGGTGCAAGTGCAACAAAGTATCGCTGGTGCACAAGAAGAACTCGCCCCTCATCATCACTCTGCGCACCATGGAGATTCAGTCTATGGCTCCTGTGAGTTGAACTTCATAATTTGGTAGCTTATTTTGACTTCATCCATTTCTCTACTTTTCTACATGTTGGACCATCCATCATTTTATCTGTTGATTGGTTGCATCTAATGCAAAATTTGTTTATGGTATGACCATCTAAATTCATCGTTTGTCATGAATACATAATTTAAGTCATTTCAAAAATACCCATCACCTTTTGATTGAGCTCAAACAATTTAATCTCGTACTATGTTTTTTTGATTTCTATACATAAAGTCTTGCTTGTGTTGGGAATTTTCTCTCTGGAGTGAATCTTAAAGCCATGCAGAAATCAATTTGCTGTATTTTATTCTCAAGTGTCCTAAAATTGTCTCAAGTGTCCTAAAAATCACTATTAAATATATATACTATTTCATCATTTAGAATCGCTTCGATCAGAATGGTGCTAATGACCAAGCAAATTATTTTGAAAAACCTATCGAAGGATTCCTGCTTGCTGGCTTTCACGCCACGACTTTGCATCTCTCTTTTTACAACACTTCTCTTTAACTTCACTTCTTGTTGTTTGTTTGTCTGCTACAAATCTTATAATCTAATCGATATTTAACACACTTCTACCTGTCTAATCGATCTGAAATTTTGCACACTTGCGTAAAGTCGGAGACAATGCATGAATCAATTGACAGAGTGAATAATTTTAAAAAATTAGAAATTCGTCATTAATGTGTATCATCGGAGATAATGGCCTCTTTGGAGGTGTTGTCTTTAAAAATTAATTTTTAAACGCATGTTATTTTGTAGGTAAAAATGTATACAGCAGTAGCTAAGGTTTGGCATTCAAGGTGCGCATGAATCATTTTTTTTTTTTTTTTGTTCTTATCCTTGCTTTATTAAACAGGTACTCTACTGTGACCGCTTTCACAGTTTGAAGCTTGAGAAGTACTCTAGGAAACCTAAGAAAACCAAGCTGCATGTGATCGATGACAAACCTTTGGCCAACCTCGACATTCTTCGACAACGTCTCAGGGAAGAAGATTATGATAACGACGCACAGGAATCTGGGCAGCCATCGCAGGATCTGTCTGGAGATGAAGAACAAGAGATGGCTGCTGCTGAGAAGAAGAGGAAGAGGGATGATGATGCTGACGAATTCGTAGACATCCTCAAGATTAAATCCTGGAAGCCCCCTAAACTGGTGAAGGTTGAGCAAAAACCTAAGAAGCCAAACTTGGTTAAATTGCCTGTGATAGAAACAGAAGCTGAAAAGAGAGCCAAAATTAAAGATGAGAAGAGGAAACGTATGGCTGAAAAGAAGGCGCGAAGGGAACAAGCATTGAAGGAACAGGCGCTAAATAAAGCCAAGAAGGCAGCTAGAAGTCTTGATGAGTCTAGTATCAAGGGATCTGGAATGCTTAAGAATGAAAAATCTACAAGTAACGAATCTTCTTTTGAAGTAATTGAAAAGCAGGCAGAAGAAGATAAAGCTTCCAAGTCTGTGTGCGCTTCTGAAGATGCTGATGATTCCATAATTATTGTTGAAGAGCATACAACGGAAGAGGATGAAGACCGAGACGATGATGGCGTTGAAAAGGGAAAAGGCACAGTAGATGTGACCTCAGAGCCTGAAAAAGAAATTGACCAAACAAATGAATCAAGGGAGCAAAAAGAGACCAAATTACCTGTTGTAGTTGAGAAAATGCAAGCTGAGCATAAAACGGCTAATCTGAAAATATCTGATACACGTGAGAAGATGTTCTCAGATAAGGAGATTAAAAAGTATAAGAGGAAGGCCCTCCGTGAGCTGGAGCTGCTTCGAGAGGAGGCAAAGCAAGCACGTGCCAAAGAACGTGAGGAGCAACAGGCTGCCATGGAGGCAGCTCGCCTAGAGAGTGTGTTAGCGAACAAGGCGAAGCCCGCTAAGATGGATTGGTCAAATTACAAGCAAGTCAAGGCGCCTCCGTCAGGTGGGCTGTCTAACCAGGGTAACCAATTCCTCAATGAGATGTACAAGGCCAAGACATCTAACCAGTTGGTCCAGGAAGAACGAAATGTCATTAAAGAGATTGATCGTATGGCTCATTTTGAGAAGAAAGTTAAGAGGATCAGGTCTCGCGTCAATAAACTTCAGAAGACCAATGACCCCGAGGTTAAGATTGAAGAACAGAATACAGAACTTTCAGAGACAAATGTAGAAGATGAAAACCTTGAAGTCTCTGGAATGGCAGAGAAGAAACCCGTATCTCCTCCTGCTCGTTCAGAGCAAACAAATAAATCTGATTTGGAAGTTGTTTTTGCAAGCATTCCATCACTTTCCGTCGCCGAAAAACGCAAATCTTTGGATGTCAGTGACGACGTGAATCCAAATGTCAAGAAATTGCCCAAGTCAGCAATTTGTATGGAGCAGAAATTGCACAACGGTTGCATGCGTGCAATAAAGGCGAATGAACATTATGGAAAATTTGTTTCGGCTATGGTGTCATCAAGCGCTGCTGAGAAGTACGAGAGAGAGCTTCTGGAGAAGAAAGAGAAACTTGCTAAAGGACTTCTCATCATGAGGGATGATTTTGCTCCTCATCCTGAAGAAATTCTGTTCAAAGAGGAACGCCAGGAAGAAGGAAATGAAACCTCTGAATCTGGAGATGAGGCTGAAGAATTTGAAGAAAATGACAGTGAGAGTGGAGTTGATGAATCAGAGGAGAATAATTCCGAGAGCGAGGATCTAGAGGAGGAGAAAGAACAGCAACGTGGCTCTGCCGAAGGTGAGCCCCAGGAGGAAGGCTCTGATTCGGATGTAGATGAAGAAAATACAAACGCAAACAGAGCGAATGATGCTGAGGACACTGTAAGTGTTAATAATTTTGTTGAAGCTAGTGCCAGATGTGAAGATGGCATAGATGAAGACATTCAAGTCACTGTTGAAAATGATGGTAATTATATTGAGGAATGTGATGTGCATATGAAACCTATGGATGAAGAACAGAAGTCAGATGATTCCATTGAAGAGCTGAGTGAAAATGATTGCTCAAAAGTTGTAAAAGGAAATGAGCAGACTGTTGACAGCAACAGTGACTCGTTTAGTGGAAAAACAGACCACAATTATGTATCCAAGAAAGAGCAAACTGAAGTTTCTACTGAAGAGAACGATAAAGAAACGTCTTTCAAGTTGGCGCTCAACTGTGATGACTCAGGTGACGAGGGAAAACTTCAGATTGATGATAAAGCTGACTCAGGTGACGAGGACAAACTTCAGAGTGATGATGTGAGCGCTACTGAACTAAGTCAAACAACACTTGTTGAATTAGAGGGAAATAGAACCAAGCATACTTCTTTGCAGCCAGTGTATGAAAGTACCGACGATCAGAAAACTGATGACGAAGCGCTTTTCAGCGAAGTTCCTGAAACTGATAACGAAATTGACGCGCAAGTTGAAAGTACCTTGGTGTTTTTGAATTCTCCTCAAGTCAATTCAAAGCCCTTGTCTCCATCAGTAGTTCACTCACTCCAATCAGAGCGCTCTGCCTTTAGTGAGCAAACAGCATCCACACCTAAAGTGTCACTAAGCAATACTCGTCAAGTTCCCAAACTCCGCACTCCTCTCAGTTCAATTTCTGCTCGCAGTTCTGTCTCTCCTTCATCTAGTCTCAAGTCTCCTAAAGTCTCCTTACTAAAGTCGGATTCAGCACTCAACTTGAAGGCTCTGGACTTGAATTACTCTGAGAAACCTAACGAGAGTCAATTTACTGCCCCCGACGTGGCAGAACGAAAGAGTCCCATCATCAAAACAGCAATTCAAGCCTCTCCTAAAACGAATCAAAAGAGTTCTACTTATTCTGATGAGCCCAAGACGATGAGGCAGGAATCGCCTAAGCCCATAGCTACTTTGGATTCGCCAAAACGCTTAGTTTGTCATTCCGAATCAAAACAATTGGACAAATCAACACCGATGGAAATTTCAAAAGTCGTATCCCACAAACTAGATACACTCACAACAGGAAGTCCTAAGTCCGACTCTCCTAAAGTAGGTACTCCAAAGTCAGACACTTCTAAAGTAGGTACTCCCAAGTCTGACACTTCTGAAGTGGGTACTCCCAAGTCTGTCGCTTCTAAAGTGGGTACTCCCAAGTCTGACGCTTCTANTCCCAAGTCTGCTTTATCGAAAATGGACACTCCCAAGTCTGCTTCATCGAAAATCATTTTGCAGAAAGCTGTAACGCCTTTGCTTGAACCCTCGACGCTTAAGTTTACCACGCCCTCTAAGTTAGTCGTTTCATGTAATAAATCGACTAATAGCTTTCCTTCTTCAAATGACTCTTCCATCACGTCTAAAGACAATCCTATTGCATTCACATCACCAAAAGTTGTGGCTAATGCGGGACGTGCCCATACTGAAAATATTGATCCCAACGAAGGAGATGAATTAGAGGTTCATTTCGGGGATGCGCTTATTTTTTCAACTGTGAAGAAATCCCTCGATAATTCGGCTGTTAAAAGCCCTACCCGACAACGGAGATTGTCACTCAACCGCACTCCATGCAAGCCTTCATTTTCATCATCCACAATTATGCACCGCAGTCCTTCTCCTGGTGAGCTCTTAGAAAGGCCTTTAGTGCATTCTGAGCATCACGACGAGTTAAAGGACAATGATGACGAGAATTCTTTCCAACGAGAGAGGTCATCACTCCAGAGCATTGTAAGCAAGCCTTCACCCACGATCAATCGCCGAAGCCCTTCTCCTGATGATATATTTGAAAGATCTTTGTTGCACTCTATTTCTCCTGATGATATCATCGAAAGATCTTTGTTGCACTCTGTTTCTCCTGATGAACTGAAGAGGTCGCTTACGGAAAGTCCCAGGCTAGTGTCATCCGCTGCTCTTAACAGCGAGGTGCACATAAGCCCAGACGCAAGTTGTGACGATGGTGCCGTCGTAGAACTGAATCACGAGATGCATTCAGGGAGTGAAGAAGAGTTGGTTCGTACCGCCATGGCTTCCATCAGAACCAAGTCACCCATTAAAAAGATGCGGGAGGAGCAGGAAGAGTCAACCCCTATCACAAGGAAACGCGAGCGAAGTACTTCACCCACCAAATCGGCAGTGAAGAGTAAAACTCCCGATTCTAGAAAGAAATCTAGGTCAACTGGCTTTGAAACCACACCCTTGTTAGAACATGTCAAGAGTCCCAGCCTGAAAAATTCTTCCCCTACCTTGAAAACCTATCCTTCTCCTAAGGAAGAACAGTTATTCAAGGATATCTCTAATGATTCTGTTACTCCTTCAGAGACTTTAGACTTGGAGATCAAGAAAGAAGATACTAGCAAGTCCTCAGTGACGTCGTCGAAAGTTGTCACTCCAGAAGACTCAACCGCTCGGAGAACAACTCGTCGACGTAGGAGTACGTCTGAAGGTCCTGAAAGCAAGATGCCTGACGCGGTGCTAGCACCTGTTGCTACTGACAGCATCGCATCGCGCACCCGACGCCGGAGTCTCTCTGGCATGTCCACTGACGACGAGGCTTCAGCTCCTGCTCAGGTTTCTGGTGTTGTGGGCGCAAGAACTCGTCGTCGGAGCATCTCTGATGCCGAGGCTCTTACGCCTATGAAGAGAATTGTGATCGACACCATTCCTGAAGAGGAGTCTGACGAGAGCAGCGGATCTACTGTACAACCAAATGTAAAGCCTTCCGCCCGACGTAAAAGCCTTGCTGCTAAGGCAACTCCGCAGAAGGCGCCTAACTTTGGTACTGCTGCCGTTTTACTAGAGGCGGCCGCCCCATCCCCTGTACTCGCAGGTATGCATTGCGATTTTTATGAAAAGTATCAACTGTGCTAGCTGCGTTAAATTTACCCAGGTTTTGAATTTTTTTCGTGTCACATTTTGTTATTTATTTCTTTGCCGCTTATCAAATTAGCGTGTTCGTGATCATACTAGATCAGACTTGATTAAGTAAAATATGTAATCTAAACTCTTGTACATTGTGCTACTTCAATTGTCGTCACCATTGTTTCTTAAAAACCTATCATTGCAGGTCGTGGTAACAGAAGAGCCTCTCTCACGAGCACGGCATCTACGAGCGTCTCTACTCCTACCAGACGCCGCTCCCTCGCATCCTCTTCTCGAGCCGGCAGCGTATCCAAGGTAGCGCTTCATGGACTTTGTAACTCATTATCCTTGTCTATATGTTTGATTATATTCGAACACGAAATCGGTCCCTAGTTTATATGAAGACCTGAAAGTATTTCTTATTGAAAATTTTCTTAATCTCTGGTCTTCAACGATACTTGCATAGATGAAAACTTCTGCCCAATTATGCCGATAGTGATTAAATGGTACGTAAGTAGTGTAAATAACTGAATTGCGTACAATTATGGTGAGCTCAACCGCCAGGTCTACTTGCTGCTGAAGCAGAATAGCCCATAAAATATGAATGTGATCAAATGAAAAGCATATGCATGAAGTGCAAACCTATTTTAAAAACCCTCATTAGGAGTTATTTAAATGAAGAATTCTGAGGCATCCGATAAACTCAAATATTGATATGAGTATAGTTCTCTTCACTTGATGTTAAGTGACAAAAAAGCGTTCATGATGGAGATCAACGCTTCCTAATACAATTCTAAATTACGGAGAGCTTTTTGCAGTCAAATGACTTTTTTAAAGAGAGAAAAAGTGGCTAGAGTGATGTTTGTTACAGGAACTAGACGCGGAGTCTTGTGCATCACCGCGCCGTGTATCAAAAATGCGCCGCCTCTCTGAGAGCCCCACAAAAGGGCTCATGGTCGACACCAAGGAAGATGCTACCGCAGGTTTGTGTCTACATTGAAATTATTCTGTTAAAAATATTAATGATGTTCGTTCATTATTATTTTCTGCTATGAGAAGACCCTATGAACCTGAACGAGTTTGGAGGAGTGTTTATTTACAATCAATAATAAACTGGTTTAGTACGGGATCGGCATTCATATGTCACAATTCGTATGTATCTAAATCATGTTAGTGTCACCATGTTTGTAGAATTTAATGTTATCTATACATGTTCAGAGCTGTTTTCAATTAAGAAAATTAATCTAGCAAAAATTGATTTTCTGCGATATTGAAGGTTTCAATCCGTTGCATTTTATCTAGCAAGCTTTTCTTGGCTAAAAAGAGCAAGTGCAGAAAGAACAATTCATGCTTGGATGCATGCGGATATCATCAATAATACTGACCCGTCGTAACTATTTTCTTCGCAGCTCAGTTATATTTTTGACTATGAGTAATATTCGACATCGGCATGATATTCCCTTGGTGATCATCACGTTTTAGCTGTGTTTAAAATTCACTTGTGAGTTCGATTTTATGTTGGGTTTGACTCAATTATCCATTAAAGCTTTTCCATTTCGTTCATCGAATGGAATATTGCCGAGGATCGAACGTTATCACTGTGCCTGACTTTATTATTTCGAAAGGTATAATGCATATAACTTTATTACATCGCACCTATTCCGGAGCAATGGCTTAGAGATGCCCGTTGAGTTTCTGACGGCGATGTATGTCTGTTAATGTTAGGAGATGCGAATGGAGTTTCTAGTGAGAATCGTATGTCTGTAAACAACCTCATTGAGCGTGAACACTTTCGTATTGAAAACAACAGATATTTCCTTATTGTCTCATGGTAAGTATATTGAAGCTGAGACACTCCCGTGTCTCCGTCAGGTGTCACTGCGCAACGTGTCCTGCCCAAGCGTGAGTCTCGAAGTCTTAAAGAAACCATAGGACTTAAGACTTGTCCCGTGGTTGTCTTGGAAAGACTTTCGCCTGCGTGGTACACCAACCCTGTTGTAGTCATGAGAAGATTAACTCCAAGTACAAGCTCCTTTGTTGTCCTGGGCAAAAGATGTAGGTCTTTTTCTGGTTCATCAGTAAACTTGTAGTTTGGGCCGTGTTATCAAAACTAGCGTACCTAAGTAAATGAAACCTAAGTATTACGTAAATGTTGCTGCCTAAATACGCGTCGCAAGGACAATTAGTGGCCGATTTCTTGTTTGTGATTGGTGGGTTTAGCTTGAAAAGCCGTCTGTGCTTGCTGCTTGGCTTACGCAGCGTCTGTCACGCTGAGCGAAAAAAAAACTTTTATGGTTTTTAGAATGTTTCTAATGCCTGAATGACGTGGTCTGATCTGATCAAGTAACTAGTAAAGTTGTAGACAAATGACGTACTCTAACGATATTGTCATCTTTATTCCTAAATTATCTTATTTTATTAATTATTATCCAAGGTATGTTTGAATCAAGGAATGCATTCCATTGATATTAACCCATTGTAACGTGTCTTGTGTGTCGCCCAGCTGTGGAGGACAGCGATAACACCGACAGTGACGCAGGAGTGCGCCGTACGCTACGCCGTCGCCAGCCAAAAACATACAAGTAGGAGGTGGAGGAGAAAATGTTCGCTGTTGCTACTGCTGCTTCTCAATTGGACGTCGCTTTCGTGGTCAACGAACGACTTCGTAACTTGACGTTCACCAATGTCTGTACAATTTTCAGCTAATGCTAATATTGTTTGTATGATTATCGGATGAAGCAGCCGATAATTAAACACTGGATCGTACGTTCTGAATTATGTTGTCTTCGCCTGCACTCAAGATAGTTCTCCTGGAACTGCTGAGATATTTGCGCCATAATAATTACGTGTGGGAATAGAATTTTGAGAACAATGAAGGCTTCTTTAGAAAAGGAAAATGTTTAGAGTAGATCTGCATCAAAGGTGGGCTTTGAGTCAGTGGAGCGTCTCTTTATAAGTAATTACGCTACCGGATCATTTGCTAACCTCTTTGATGCCACTTCAATTAGCACATTATTGCGCGTTTTTCACAAGTCTTCAATAATTTCAATTTTTAGTTTTTTCGTTCTATTTTTAGGTTTTAACGATTCGATTACCTGAAAAGTTGTTTGGCATTTGATTATTAATAAACGCAACCGAGATGATTTTGCTATTTGATGTAGGTAGTTAGGTAGCGTTTGGAAATAGATATTGTCATTAGCCCAGGCATAATTTCTAGTGACTGACGTCAAATGCCCACTGATTGTTTCTATTTCTCTTGATTAATCTCAAGCCAGTTTTCGAATAAAAATGGGATTGATTTTAACAAATTTTGATTGTAAAATAAAATTCTCTCATCCTTCATGTATTATTAAGCCGGTGTTTTGAATACCGAGTACTATAGAAACTTCTGTCAAATGTTCGGAGGTAATTGTTGTTGGACGGCGTATTGAAGTCGGGATGCAGTCTCTTGCGGCAGTTCTTCACTATTTACAGGACATTAGCTTATCTGCACTTGTTTCTTGTACAGAGCTCGCCGCGTTGTCGTAGATACGCTCGAGCTTTTGTCGAATTTTTGCCCACGTTTTGATTTTTATTAGACGAACAAGATGCTGCATTCTTTTGTCATAATTCATGTAAAGATTCTATCTTCTTTATAGAATCTATAGGTTGTATGTATTAATTTCTTGCAGCAACTAACTGCAAACCATTACAACAATTTTGTTAACCATGCCGTAATGTTAGATTCATAACACTAACTGATAACTTAAAAGGAAACTAATGATCGATTGAACGATGTTTGTACTTGAGGCGTTTTGATAGTTCCATATCAATTGGATTATCAATTTTTGTGATTCCGTTACTACCCTTTGTAATGAATTTTCCAATAAAGTTATTTTCTGGTTACTGAAACCACTTCTTCTCTGGTGTTTAATCGAGCTTGTGGTACTAGTTGTGTAAAAAATGCATTCATGTTGGAGGATGAGTACTCACTTTACTAACAGAAAGCTTGCCGGCTAGTATGCGCATGTCGTAAATACAAGCAGCAAATGCTACCTTTGTTTTTAAATACAAGCAGCAAATGCTACCTTTGTTTTTAAATACGAGCAGCAAATGCTACCTTTGTTTTTAAATACTAGCAGCAAATGCTACCTTTGTTTTTAAATACGAGCAGCAAATGCTACCTTTGTTTTTAAATACGAGCAGCAAATGCTACCTTTCCTATATTTACTTTTGGATATATTTGCTGTTCAACCAGCTCTTTCCGCTGCTTCCTGGAAATTCAAAAAGCATCCTATATTTTCAATTATAATAGTTTTTAGGTTTGAGTGTACATAGAAGTGAAACAAATTCTCAAGAGTCCTATTTTCATCTGGGAAGATAGTTTTAACGTCAGTCGACAACTATAACCAAAAATTTTCTAAACTAGAAAATTTGCTATTACAGCTTCATGTCCTAAAGAATGTGATCATCTTGTTGAACATTTTCTATGTCTTGAATTATCATGATTTAGATTGCAGGTCGACTCTCGTCTGGAATTCGACATTTGCGCTTGATATGTGAATTGCATTGTAACTTCAGAATTTACATTCTGCTGATAGCCTGATGAAACAACTATTTCTAATGTAAAAAGTCGTGTTATCTATCAAGATATTGGTGATTTTGTCGTTTACTCGATGAACGTCCGAATGAGAGTTTAAAATACTCAATAAACGAATTTATTATTACAGAAAAATGAATAAATTTGTTGAAAATCTATTCTACTTTGCTATCAGAATAATTTTTTAATCTGCAAACAAAAATAACAATTAACTAAAAATGTTCTAGCAAATTGACTAATCAATTTCGTACATATAGATTACCATCTTATAATTAATTATGTATTGCTTCGATTAGTAATATAAAACTTGAAGCTCGAAGCTACAAAATAATTTGAAGAAAAAATGCTTCTGTTGAATAGTTGCGACAGTTTTGCTAACTTTATATGCTAGAGGGCGCTTCACTAAAACACATTCAGAAGCTGAAATTTAGGGTATTCGAGCAGAATGTTCAGAGAAGAAAACCGACTTCATGTATGCGGCCATTATGATATTACTCCTCAAATAAACACACATTTTACAAACAACGCACTATAGATTTTGCTGAAGTCATAAATATTAGGTTTTTCGAGTACTTGCTGATACATTCTGTTCAAAAAGAATACAAATTATGTAGGAACACCAACAAAATTTGCATTATAACACATGCCGTAATGAACGCGTGTCTCGAAACTGCTGAACATTTCTGCTAAGAACGAAAAGTCTCCAACCGACCACCCGGGCACCCCTACGTCAGAACTTCAGAAGTGATATATCAAACGTGATGTGTGTGCTGTGCAATGTTAAAAGTGATTAGTTGTACTTTTATTAACGTTGTTTTCTAATCTGTAGTCCCATTTTCAATAAATGGAGTGATTTTTTGCTGCACGTCCGTGGCTGGGGAACTCGAGCTTTGGACATCTTTGTTGTTTGAGGCTTGAGCATTTGTTTACAATTTTTGGTCACTCTTCAAGCTGTGATAGAAGAATATGTGAATGTGGTATGTATAAATTTTGTAGAATTTTTTAAACCTATTGAATTTTCATCGCAACAGTTAGGTAGTGTAGCCGTAGCTGGTAGCCTTTATTTAAAAAATTGCATAGGGACAACTGGACAAGAACTGGAAAATTTGGCAGGATTCTTCAATCATTGTGGATTAAAGTTATGATTTCACAGTCCATTTTTCTGAAATTGTGGCCAAAATTATGCAATAGGCAGTGTTTTGATTTTTGTAAGATAAATTATGCTAGAGCATAGAGCCTGAGGAGGCTGAGGGCCCAGTGGGCAGTGAGGGGTCTAGCCTGGACTCACTGGAGGCTAGATTAGATGCTAGAGCAGTACCCAAATCCCAAACACTGGCAAATACAAACTATTTGGAAAATTGGTCAAAATCAAAGTGAAAAATTTGGCAGAAGGGTATGAAACCATACTTACCACAGATTTTTTAGAATCTGTTCATTTTTAATTTTTCATCTATTTAAGATTTAAACAAATTTCTTTTGTTGCATGATAATCATAATGGTTGTAGCCTATCCAAGTATCCATGATACTTTAAAGGTCTTCTTATGAGTTATAGGACTTAATAATAAACTTGAAAAGAATCTGAAAAATTCTTTGCTCTGCCACTTGGTTGAAGCCACCTATTTGAATGGAAAACAAGCTCATGGATCTAACCCATTTCTCCCTGAACTCCCATATCTACAACCTTGTCTTAATTTCTTCTATAAAATTACAAAAAAAAACCTGTTTTTATCTGTTGTTCTTGTAAATTGCCTGTGAAATTATTTTTTAATTGTAATTTTGGGAAACTTCTGCCAAATATTGCAATTTGGGCTTATGCCCTCAGTCAATTCTACTCAATTTATGGCCTTGCCAAATTTCCTGTGTTAAAAGGAAATAAAGCTATAATTCGCTAATGATTTTAAAAATCTTGCATAATAAAATAGTTTTTATGCATACAATTTCCCAAAATTGCAGTTCCATAAATTTGGGAGAATTCTGCTAGGGTAAATGCGGTATATTCCGACACTTTGAAATGAATGGCTATAAAAAATACACCGTACATGCAACTCAAGTTCTGTTTGCTTTACGTCACTCTCAAAACACCGCACTACACGCAGGCAACAATGAAACGTCACAAAATGTTGCCATATTTATTTAAAAGCCTTTAGAATGCAAACCTACCAAATCCATATATTCCGACACTTTGTGACTAAATTTGGCATTTTGTGAGACTAATTCCGGCCGCGCTTCAAACTCTACTAATTCGTAATGCCGGCACTCTTGTGTTCGAATTCCAATCGGCGATCGCTGTGTGAGCTGTATTGGAATACGACACAGGACACAGCTTGGAATTAGAACACTATTGAATATTGAACACTAGGTACTTAATTAGGCTTTTAATTAAGAGCTATTAAGCTTTTAATTAAGAACATTTTAATTTTGGCATACAGCTTGGAACGAGCTGTGTGTCTAATTCCCAATCTGTGTCGGAATTAGTTTTTATGTGTAAAACCGTTTCTTGGTTTTAACTTAATCGTCTATTAATTTTTTACCACTTGAAATCAGCAAATACAAGTACCTTAAAGGGGTATACTTAAAGGTATACATACCTTTATACTTGTAGGTATACTTAAAGGTATACCTACAAGGTATACTTAAAGGATTCCTAATAAAATTCACAGGCGTATTTAAAAGTCTCAAACCATAATATTCTTTCTACACAAACAGTCTATCACTATTTTGTAGAGCAAGGTCAACTATCAACTTTGACACATTTTTCGATGTTATCACTGGTGACGTGCACTGTCTCTCCTTGGATCTCAACATTTTCCCGCCAGATGGCCCAGACCTAGTGTTTCGGCAATAGTATGGCGCTCAAAAGTATGATGTGACTATTTCAACTATCAACGAATGCATGGAACTAAGAAGAAGCTTGATATAAGGGAAAAAAGTCGAGAAGTGTCAGAATTACCCACGATGTCGGAATATACCGCATTTACCCTATCTGCCTTATATAACATATTGGGATGGATGACAAACTAGAGGTTTTTTTACATAGCATGTCATTTTAAATTTCCTTATCTGGTTTCAAATTTTATTCAATGTCTATGATGATGCAGGTATCCATGATACTTGTATTTCAAATCTTTTTAATGCTTTTTTTGCAATGTTGTGCAGCTTTAAATTGAATTACCTATCTCATTCTTTTAGTAGGTATGAATTTTGCAACTACAAAGTCCTGTATTTTGGTTTGATCCTGTATTTTTCTTTGATTTTGGTTTTGTGGTCCACAAACATCTCAATCGGCATAATTTTTAGTGGCCGTCAAAATCACCTGCGCAATGACTATCTACATAATGTTTTGTTAATGATCAAATACATTATACATGGTGCAATTCTAGGATCGGCAGTACTTATTGGTCTTGACAAAAAGGGTCCGGTTTTAGGGGTAGTGACAGAAGACAGGACTGCAATGTTAGGAATTTAAATAATTTAATTTTGGATCATAGATAAATATTTGCCCAAAATTCTTATATTAAATCAAAATTTAACTTCAAATAAATATTTTACAATTTAATTGTTACTTGATTTTCATATTCAAAATGAAGTACAACTTTAAAAGTGTCAGTTGTCAAAGTAGCCTGTAGCCATTTTATTAAAGTTGGCAGAGCAATACAATATAATGTACATGTACACTTCCTTCCTTCAACACACACGAATCATGATCCATAAAGTAGATTAAAAAATAAAGAATTGAATAGCAAAATTTTTTGCTCCTGAAGATTGCAAAATGCCAACAATGACTGATAAAATGACCATGACATGCTTATGTAGGTTGCACAGGCTACTGTTACAACTTCAACTCGAGCACACTTTACTCTTTTGTTCATATTTCAAGCTTCATGGTTCACGCCATCAGTGCTAAAGACATTTGAACTGCGCTTCTCAACCCATTAGAACTGTAAAGTATTACAATCAATAATATTTATAATTTCACAATCAAAAATATTCACCATACCACAATTGAAAATATTCATAATTCACAGTCAAAAATATTCTCCGTATCTCAATAAAAAATATTCACCATATCACAATTGAAAATATTAATATCTGGGAAATGCAGGACAAGCTGCCATCTTCCCCATGCTCAAATGCAACTAAAGAGTTGGAGACAGGATCTTGCAGTGATGTCACATGCGATAAATATTGCAAGTGATATCACACATGATAGGTACGTCACAAAACAATTATTTTTAGGAATGTGTTTTGGGCCATTCTAGGCTTGAAATGTGCTTATCTTTTCAATAAATTTTATAGAATTGAATAATTAGAACTTGTCATTGTTATATATCAACAAATAAAATTGTTGAGCTACAATAAGTATAATTTCATATAAATAATATATTTCTCTTATTTCTTTAACTCAAAAAAATTTTCACAGAAAGACTAATTACAGACTGGTAATAGAGGAATAGGCATTTAATAGGAGACTAGTAATGGAGAAACAGGCATTTAATATTTTTTAGGCATTTAATAACTTAAAACCTTACTTCAATAAGTACTTTCATTAAAAAAAATTCAAATTTCCTGTCCATTGATTTGCGGAACTTTTGTTGTTGTTATCTCCCTTTGTTTATTTAGTATGCAGCTGTGTCTTGTGAGAGGTGGTGCTAGTGTGCTGTGGACTGGTCTGTAAACATTGAGTATTGGTTCAAAATCTCAAAATACCACGTTCTTTTATATTAACTATAGAATTGCATCATGATTGCATAGTTGCTTACCATAGTGGCATAGCAGAGAATAACCTTTTTCTTCTTGCTCTCAAACTGATTTTTGAGCTAAGAGTTCATTTTTTTATAGCCATGATTATCTTTTTCAGCCATGGAAAGTCTTTTTTGCATGCAAACTCATTTTCAAAACTTCAAACTTCATTTTCCATGCTGTGCTCATGCATTGTGCCAAATCTTTAATTTTAACCTGCAAATGAAACAGAGAATATTTATCTTCACTTAAGAGGCATTTCATGATTTTAATTACAGTACTTGATACCTATAATATAAACATTGGTGTTACCATGTTGTCAGATAGGGGTTCTCTATAGCCACAAGTGGCTATAGGGAACAGTGAAGTAAAATCCACTATCAAGGGATTTTTGTAGGTATGTAAAAAATTTAATATTTTTAATTAATGATAGAATATATATGGTTTTCTTGAAAGATGAAACCAAGTAAAAAATTATATATTTATCTATAAGTATCAATGAAATACAAAAGAAAAACACAAAAATTCTAATTTTTTATTTCCATCAAAGTTAGTCCAGAGAATTGACCAAGACCAAGAGTTGGCCATTCCAGCAGCCTCTGTTTCCCCTTTCCAGCAGCATTTGTTTCCCCTTAGATGAAAACTGGATTAATTTTTATAGATGAGCAACCCTACAAATTGGAGAACAAAAATTTATAGGAATGTATGTAACATTTGTGGTACCATATATGTAACAGTCAAGATCATTTTGGTAAAAAGATTTTCACATGTTTTACTACTACTATGTTGCGCAAAGCACTGCTGTGTTATTGTCTTTCTTCTGTGGGCCTCTCGTTGGATCCTTGGCATCTTAATCCCAACCACTGAAATTTTGAGATCATGCATATAAAACTATTGTCAATGTTCTGTTACTCAAGATAGGCAATAACAACTTTTCTTGAAGCCCTTTGTGGCAATGCATGCATAAGGCAGCCAAGCCAGTAAAAAAAATTCCTTGTAAAGATGGCATGGTCATAATTTAAAATTCATTCATTCATTTACAAGTGAGAGTTGACCAAATAATGCTGTTGAGCATAACAATCATTACAAAATGCTTTCTGCACATCAAGCCCCAAATTACCCATTTTAATATTTTTAGTACTCAGCCCAAGGTTTTTGCATATAGGTATATACATACACTTACATATGTCTTATTTGAAGGTACCTAGCTTTTACCCAAAAATTAAAAATCACCCCATAAATGTCTAAGGTGCAGAGAGCAAGCACAATATCTATAGATCTTTGGCAACTCTTCATCATTTTATGTCTTCAGACAATCTTGCCAGTACATTCATCTTCAAATACCTCTTTTCATGTATTTTTAACAAAAATTTAGAAGGTTTAGGCAGTTATGGCAACAACTACACAATAATGGTAACATTTTGGGGCCAACAACATTTTAAGGTGATGAATTGAGTGGTATTTAGTGGAATTTGTGAAATAATTTCATCTATATTAGGATATTGGTGGTTTTTCAAGATTTTTTAAATGCTCTCTGAACCTTAAATTTATGCATGTCCATGAGTACCTAATGCAAGTTCTATTGAAGTCAATTGACCAAACCAATCTAGGATAAATGACAAAAATTTTGAGAATAGCTGTTTAAACAACCATATTTATGGTTAAAAGCAGTTTTGTCATTCAAAGATACTATAAATATATATACTACAAATATATATACTACCTACCTATATATCTGTATATAAATACATATTGATTACCATGTTATCAATCAACCTTTTCATGAAACATGAAAGATCAGATGATTGCAAGTTTGCAGCTGCATATTTTTTACACAAGCAACTGTCTCCAAGAGCTTGGATATTGCATGTAACAGATTTTATGTACTGCTTTCAGTTAATGATCATGACTGATATAGGCACTGCTTTTAAAATATATTTGTATATGGTATTTTAGGTCCAGCCATTACCTATATGGCTGGATTGGTACATATACCTATGGCCATTATATTATCAATGCTACCGGTAGCTGCTATCTGAGGTAGAAATTAGGCTGTGAATGAAGTAGTGGTGCTGAAAATGTTGGTCACACTGACCAACACTTAGCATTGTTAGTTGTACCAGCTTTTATTGGAAAATGATAAATACCTCATGAATTCCTCACTTCTGTTATGTTTGTTAAAAGTTGTATTACAATCTTGTTACTGTTGAAGCTTTTCTCATAATGTAAGTCCTGCAATTTAATTTTTTCTGGTTTCAGGTGTAATAAGAAGTTGAAGCTGAGATGACGATGGTGGCTTGTCCGCTCGCATCACTGATATCTTTGACCTCTCAGCGCAGTGCTGCTCCTGCGTTGCTTGTGTTGTCCTCTGCCTTGACTGCTGGTGTACCTTGGTTAGTAATTTCTTGATTTCTTGATGTTGATTCTCATCTTTCATTTGCTGCAATTAATCACTAGTATTTCTGTCAATTTCAAGACAAAATTGATGTGTATCTTTTATTTGCTATGATTAACAATTCCACCTGAAGTAATTGATGAAGTTTAACAGCCTAGATACAAGAAATGTCTTCAATGATCTTGGATATTAAGCTCAAAACTTGTATACTTGAGAGTTGTTTACACATATCATAGTCCATTTTTCATAACTTATTTTAAATCAATGAAAAAGCATCCTTGCATAAATAAATGTTTCACAATTTCCACATATATATTTCTTTGAATAACTATTGTATATTAAACATTCCTTGGCTTGTTACCTGTACAAACATAGTATATACCAGCATGTATAGTATACATACATGCATCTATGAATAAATGTTACTCCTTGCACTCATATTTTTCAAAGGTGGACCAAATATGATCTAAACTTCTAAATTACACAACCCTAATGCCAAGAATTTAGTATCTATCTGAAAGTAATTTTTGATACCAAAAAAGTGTTAGTTGTTGCTCATTTTTTGTTTGCAAAAACCAATTTATTTACTCGTTTTTAATTTAATCTTGCTTTATTTATGCAGGTAACCAGGTCCAGGGTTCCTGAACTGAGCGGCAATGCCTAGTATCCATGAAGCTATTGAATCTGATGAGAGCTTCTCTTCTCTCTCTGATGAAGACGCTCTTGAACACAAAACTAATGCAGGCAGTGCCAAAACCTCCAGTAACACAACCACTAACACTTCTTTAGTCCCCCCTCTTACTAACAGCAGTGATAGTAAGACCTGTAACCTTATAACTGATTCTAGTGTAGTAGAAGCCCCACGTAGTGATTCTTCCTGTATATCTAGCTTAAGTGAACCTCCCTCCAACTCCAACGATAAGCCTGGTCTCCAGCCACCGCCAGATACTAGGACTCTAGATCCTATAGACAACAAAGAAAAAGACATATCCTTATCCCCTGAACCACAGAAGAAACCCAAATCCAGCAAGTCCAGGTCATCGTCTGTTAAAGACAAATCCCTTGTTGAATATTCGGATGTGAGCTCTGAGGAATTTTCTGAGCCTGAAGCTGGGGAAATTTCTGACAGCCCCAGCAGAAGTCCAATATTGCAGCATCGCGCCTCAACTTCCACAACCACCGCTCCTCTTGTGCGCAGGTATCCTCTTGTTGATCCTCTTCTTCCTCCCCACGTTACCCCTCATCCTTCAATCAAACCCCACGCCCTTGACAGCCCCAGACCTCTGCTCAATTCATCCTATCCCTCACCCCCAGTATATCGGGAACCTACAACCCCACCACACCCAATACTCAGTAAGAGTGACCTCAGCACCACACCTCACACTCCTCTCTCTAACTACACTCCCCTGTCTTCCCACACTCCTCCAATTCCTTTAAGCGCCTTCAACTCCTCACAAAGCTGTCCAGAAAATCTAAGTGAGGGTGAAGTCGATTCACCTCCTAGGAGCCTTGGAGTGAACCCACAGCCAGTGCAGCGATTGCCAGGTCACTGTGACAATACCAATAGCGGTAGTTTGCCTGGTTCTACCTTACCCCAAGGATCTGTAATCCCCGTACATTCCTTGGTACCATACCCCACAACCATGTCCCCTGACCGCACGCGGGATCCGCAGTACTACGGCAACAGTAGCGCCCGACGTCGAGACGATCATCACAGATCCCGAAGTCCTGATCATGAAGCCAGGGATTATGGCGCCAGGTCTCGTAAGAAGGAACATCGAGACAAGAAGAAAAAGAAACACGAGCGCAAGAGAAAACGTACAGATAGATCATACAGCCCCACCATGCACAAGAGAAAAAAGAAGAAGAAGTACAAGCATGGCAGCCCTGGACATGACAATGTGGACGGCAGTTCTGATGACACGGTCAGATATCCGCAAGACTCTCACAAGTCCCGACCTGCAAGTCCCCGGGCCTACGGGGATCGTGTCCCGCTGTCGCCACGCGAAGTGAATTACCGCCGAACTCCCCCTCTAAGCCCTAACATAAGCAGTGATTCCCTCACCCGAAATTATGGCAGCTCCCGTCGCCCCCACACTCCTCCTCTGACTGGGGCCAACAGAGCCCCCACGATCACCATAAGCAGTGGCTCGAGCTCCCGTCACCACAGCCCTCACCACCACCCGTTGATGGGTGGTGCACCATCACCACAGAGTAGTAATTACCCCAGTGTGGACTTGGGGTCATCACATCGTGGGGCTCATCGGGTGTCCCCACCAGCAACTGATGGGGACGGTGACCGGGGACGACATCTCTCCAAGAAGGAGGAACGCAAGAGGAGGAAGCGTGAGAAGGAGCGCAGGAATTCCTGCAGTAAAAGCAAAAGCAGATCACCTGGCAGGTGAGCACAATATCCTCTTAGATTATGATTATATATTTATATATTACTGTTGATTTTTGGTACGTAGTTATGGCTTCTATGTAGTATAGGAAATATTAATTTTTTTCTGTATCCTCTATGTGTTTTGGGGCGTGGCAGTCACAGGCCACGACTGTGCGCTGCCTGCGACATATGTAATGTGTAATTATTCATTGAATAACCAGTCTTACTTTGGTTTTTTTTAATAAGCTTATTCAATAAAAAGTTGCTTAGTATTTATTCAATATCATTTGAACACGTCGTTCGATATTTCACACCTAATTTTCTTATTTCAATAATCACCGGTCATTCCTCCATCACTCAGTTTGATTTTATCCTGATGAAAATTGAAAAATGATGGAAGGCTAAGTGAATGAAAAATTGACATGTAAATATTTATAGAAGGCTACATCATAGTTTGTTAAATTTTTGTTACGCATCCAACGGTCATAAAATAGAATCCCTATTGACAGAAGGCGACGAGGATCGCGTTCCACATCTCGGTCCCGTGCCCGACATCGACGTTCCCCATACACTCCCCCATCTAAGGGATCACGGGTACCCACGACTGGAGCCTCCCCAGCAGGCAGCTCCAGATACCCCAGCAAGGGAGGCCGTCACTCCTCGTCCAGCTCCACATCTTCGTCAGATCGTAGCTCATCTCGACGACCACAAATCGAAGCCCATCGGTTTGCGCGAGAAAACAACATGTCGAGCACAAGTTTCTTTGCCGAGCTTGTGAAATCTAAGAAAAATGCACGCAAACTCAAGGAAGTCATGACTAGAGATGGTGATGATGCTGTAGATAAAGAATCTTCTTCCAGACAAACCATCGGTGGTGATAAAGGTTCTTCTAGACCGAATGGCGTATTTGCTGATGAAGACATCCACACTTCAGTGAACGAGGCTGGAGTTATTACTATTTTAGACGGAGCTGAGAACCCGGTCAACGTGGAGGGCTCGTCACACACCTTAGCTAATGGGTCTACTGCAAACCCTGTTGTAAGAACCCCTGAACCCAACACAACTCAAACTCCTGTAAATAATAAGCACGTTAGACCACCTATTCCTTCAGCAACGACTCCAGTACCTGTAGTAGACCCTCCAATTGACAGACCACCTGGTCATATCCAGACCCCTGTCCCGGCCGTACCTAATAACCAATTAAATAACTCAACCCAAATTCCGAGCAATTCCACCACGACGCCCAGCAAGAGAACTACAAACCTCACAAAACTTCCTCTTCCGCCTGGGATTAATCTTGAAGATATTGAGTCCCCACCTTCCCCTTCCTCCCCGAACTCTGACGTCTCTGAGAAAACTAAGAAGACGCGCATCAGCCTCACTAAAGACCTGCCCATGCCTCCTGGTCAGTATCTAGGGTTTGTAACCTGAATTTCAAGAGGTTTAACCTGAATATCTCAAGAGGCTTAACCTGAATATCTCAAGAGGCTTAACCTGAATATCTCAAGAGGCTTAACCTGAATTTCAAGAGGCTTAACCTGAATTTCAAGAGGCTTAACCTGAATTTCAAGAGGTTTAACCTGAATATCTCAAGAGGTTTAACATGAATTTCAAGAGGTTTAATCTAAATTTCAAGAGTTTTCACCTGAATTTCAAGAGGTTTAACCTGAATTTTAAGAGAATTTCACAGTTAGAGGCTATGGTCTGCATTATTTAGTTTTCCTGATGCGTCTGTATTGACATGTTTTTAGTCAGTTCTGGATCATCTGCCCTGGTACCAGTAATGAACAGTTATTGAAATGTGATATACGTATTCAATTCAATATACGTAAACTTTTTGCTCATTCATAAATTGATGATGGATCAATGTCTTGATAGCTTTAATACACTAATATAACTTCCGTCTCGTCTTCATTATCTCATTTTCTAATCCGTTATTCCAGTTCTAAGCGGAAGCAACTCTCCCTCTGGATTAGAAGTGCACAACCTACGCTCCAAGTCTAGCGGCCTGCGTAAAGGTGCTGTTGACGGCCTACCCACCCCCAAAGGCAGGCCGGGCAGCCTGCAGTCATTCCCCCGGCCCAAGATATTAAATAAACGCAGGACAGATCGCTCGCACCAGGACGATGCGTGGAGCCAGCGATGCGTCGACGTGTTCGACATCATCGCACAGATCGGGGAGGGAACCTATGGCCACGTCTACAAGGCGCGCCCCAAGGATTCTTGTAAGTCTCCCAGTACTTTATTGTTATCATTTTTTATAGTGAGTCTAAATTTATTGGTTATATATATCAATTTTCGGGTAGTAATATACAATTTTTTGAAAGCAGATATCAAATTTTTAGTAGTAAATGTTACTTTTTATAGCGAGTATAAAATTGTTGGAAGTACATATAAATTTTTTGGTAATTCAGGTCTAATGAAAATAGTCAGTAGTCAGTACGAGGTCAACTTGAAAATTATGCAGTTTGCTATCTTTGATATCATCACGCAGATCTGGGCCGACACATTTAGTCTGAATTTCTAGGCTTTATAATATAATTAGCTTCTGACAGTACCTAATTCAGGAACATTCTGTTTTGAATAAAAAATGATGTGTATCAACAGTAACGGATGAGATGGTGGCGCTGAAGAAGGTGCGTTTGGAGAACGAGAAGGAAGGATTCCCGATCACGGCCGTGCGGGAAATCAAAATCCTGAAGCAGCTTCACCACAGCAACATCGTCAACCTCAAGGAGATCGTCACGGACAAGCAGGACGCCACTGACTTCAGACATGTCAGTGAAAAATAATATGCTTATAAGACGGTACTTGATGTTTGTGTAGAAAAATAATTATCTATTTGGATGTTCATGGGAGAGAAATACCAATCATGTGATGGATACCATCTTACAGATGCAGGACACAACTACTCCATACATATAATTGCTTTCTTCTTATGATATACGGTACCGTATAGGACTATAGGGACAAGCAATTATACTTATAATACCTTAGCTATTTTGTAGGTGATTATTTTAATGGTACTGTATCGCGCAGGTCATTATTCTAATGATGTATTGCGTAGGTTATTATTCAAATGGTAATGTTTCGCGCAGGTCATTATTCTAATGGTGATGTATCGCGCAGGTCATTATTCTAATGGTGATGTATCGGGCTGGTTATTATTCTAATTGTGACCTGCTTTGGTCATTATTCTAATGGTGACCTTTAATTAAATTATTCATTGTACAGGACAAAGGTTCGTTTTACCTTGTGTTCGAGTACCTGGACCACGACCTGATGGGGCTGCTGGAGTCCGGCATGGTGGAGTTCACGGAGACACACAACGCGAGCATCATGCGCCAGCTCATGGAGGGACTCAATTATTGTCATAAGAAGAACTTCCTGCACCGTGACATTAAGTGCAGTAACATCCTTATGAATAACAAGTGAGTCATGATATATACTTACTTATGAATAACAAGTGAATCATGTTACATCCTTATGAATAACAAGTTAGTTCATAAGTTCAGAGGTCAAGTTCAACTCTGAGACTTCGGTATGACCAAAATAAATTTTATTTTATGAAGTATTTGTCTATATCTAAAGTATTTAGATATTGTTGAATTGTATTAAATCTTGCGTTTTTATGTTCAGAGGTCAAGTTAAGCTCGGAGACTTTGGTCTGGTGCGTCTATATCCCTCAACCAAAATAATTTTTATTTCTTAAATATTTAAGTATATATACCTAAAGTATTTAAATATTGTTTAATTTTATTAAATCTTGTATTCTCACGTTCAGAGGTCAAGTTAAGCTCGGAGACTTTGGTCTGGTGCGCCTGTATTTCTCAACCAATTTTTTTTTATTTCTGAAGTAATTTGACCATATCAAAATTATTTAAATATTGTTTAATTGTATTAAATCTCTCATTCTCACGTTCAGAGGTCAAGTTAAGCTCGGAGACTTCAGTCTGGTGCGCCTGTATTCCTGCACCAAAATAATTTTTGATTTCTGATTTTCTGAAGTATTTGAGTATATCTAAAGTAGTTAAAATATTGTTGAATATTGTTGAATATTGTATTAAATCTCTCATTCTCACGTTCAGAGGTCAAGTTAAGCTCGGAGACTTTGATCTAGCCCGTCTGTATTCCTTAACCAAAATAATTTTTATTTCTTAAATATTTGAGTATATCTTAAGCATTTAAATATTGTTGAATATTGTATTAAATCTCTCATTCGCACGTTCAGAGGTCAAGTTAAGCTCGGAGACTTTGGTCTAGCGCGCCTGTACTCCTCTACCAACGAGCGGCCGTACACGAACAAAGTGATCACGCTGTGGTACCGCCCCCCGGAGCTCCTGCTGGGGGAGGAACGCTACGGCACTCCTATTGATGTCTGGAGCTGCGGGTGTATCCTGGGGGAACTCTTCCAGAAACGTCCTCTCTTCCAGGTGAGATAAGTGTCTTTCTTTATTTTTTGTAGTAATCCACATGTCAGTGATACACCTCCCAAAATAACACTTCTCTTCTAGGTGTGTCAAGTAAAAGGCATTTGTTTATTCCTTGGTTATAATGAAGGTAATTAATTCTACAACTTATTAAAACCAACTTTGACTACGTTAGTTAGGGACGGCATGCCCAGAGTTATTCTTGAGCTTCATATCATCTAATAATGAGGATGTTATCACATTAATCACATGAAATTAATCACCTGTTTCACATTAGTCACATAACATTAATCACCTGTTATCACATTAATCACATGAAATTAATCACCTGTTATCACATTAATCACCTGTTTTCACATTAATCATCTGTTATTCCATCAATCACATGACATTAATCACATGTTTCACATTAATCACATGCCATTAATCTCCTGTTATCATATTAGTCACATGGCATTAATCACCTGTTATCATATTAGTCACATGACATTAATCACCTGTTATCACATTAATCACATGCCATTAATCACTTGTTATCACATTAATCACATGAAATTAATCACCTGTTATCACAATAGTCACATAACATTAATCACCTGTTATCACAATAATCACATGCCATTAATCACCTGTTATCACATTAATCACATGACATTGATCATTTGTTATCACAATAGTCACATAACATTAATCACCTGTTATAACATTAATCACCTGACATTAATCACCTGTTATAACATTAATCACATGACATTAATCATGTATTACATGTACAGGGCAACAGTGAAGCGATGCAGTTGGAAGTAATATCGCGCGTGTGCGGCACCCCGACGCCCGCCGAGTGGCCCGACATCGTCAAGCTCGCAGGCTGGGCCACCATGAAGCCTAAGAAAACCTACCGTCGACGTATACTTGACGATTTCAAGGTAATTAATGCCTATAATTACTTCATTCTTATTCTCTTACTCATCAGGAGTCGTAACTGTTATAGCTCGTAATGAGATCACGTAGCGGCTTAAGTACACGTAACGGGCTAAGTTCACGGAGTGGCGTAAGCACACGTAGCGGCCTAAATACACGTAGCGGCTGAAGTTTATGTATACCTAGCGGACTAAGTTCACGAAGCGGCGATTTCTCATTTGTGATTGACGAATAAAAGTTTCAAGACGTAACTATTTTCGATAGTTATCGCTACCCAACACGTTACTAAAACACACATTGCTACTTATGAGTACTGCCGATTCATGGGTCGTGATCCGCGTTCTTCAAGAAATTCACTGGCCACTCATACAAATTGTTGGTGAAATACAAGATGACAAACAAGTGTCTGCCACTGATGTGGCAATGAGAAGACGAATGGTGTTGCGTGTTACTCCGTAGTCATGAATTCTGTATCATTCATTCATATGAACTGTCAATGTTGTGAATGACCGGTTGACATGAATTTCTTTCAGTCTGAATCATGCTAGGACATTCAGTCCTCCTCGCCACGTTGCCTTCGTTGAATATCATTCTACACTGCATATTTTCCCCTGTTTTTTTTTTTTTCTCTCTGAATCTTTTTACCCTTCCTTTGTTCACCGAGCTTTATTTTAGACCCTGCCTCTTCGTTTTATTTTGCCCCATTTTTTTACCAACGCTTCCTCTTTACCCAGCCTCCTCATTACCCAGCCTCCTCTTTACCCAGCCTCCTCATTACCCAGCCTCTTTACCAAGCCTCCTCTTTGCTCAGCCTCCTCTTTGCCCAGCCTCCTCTTTACCCAGCCTCCTCTTTACCCAGCCTCCTCTTTACCCAGCCTCCTCTTTACCCAGCCTCCTCTTTACCCAGCCTCCTCTTTACCACACGCGCCTCACTCACAGCTACCTGATCGAACGCCGTCCAATGCCGTATTGCAATGATTGTTTGGTACCCCTGACGGTCTTGCATGTTATGGCGTAATGCCCGAGCCACAGTGATACCCGGCAAAGCTACAACCCCAACACCACTGCTCTCAGCCCAAATGAAATGCTGTCTAGGATGCTGAGAGAAGTTCCCCGAAGCATCTTTGGGACTGACAACCTCAGACGATATATAATCGAGTGTAACCTGCTGCCGGATATCTAGCACGGCACCATGACATAGGTCTGAAGAGACCCACACCTCCGACTAAACACCATACTCGTGTCATCATGTTCCTGGTTGAGATGAAATAGCCGAAGACGGATAGAACCTGCGCCTTGGAAATAGAAAAGCATAAAGCTTAGACCAGATGGATCAGGCTGCGAGCCCTAGAGAAGCATACACCCTAGACCAGATGGATCAGGCTACGAGCCTGAAACCAATGAAGAAGCCTGACCCTGCAAACCGAATATTGTACCTTCGACGCGAAATAGACGACACTGATATGAAGCGCTAGAAACCTCTCTCCTACTACTACTACTACTACTCTTTACCCTCTAGTCGCTGCACATGTACAGGCCTTCAGAGACTCTTTTCTGTTTTTTTCTCACCAATGCTGGCGCTGAAGCCCATCTTAAGCATTTAATGTGGTCCCACAGGACCGCATGCCGGCTGAGGCCCTAGCCCTGCTGGACCACATGCTCAACCATCTTAAGCATTTAATGTGGTCCCACAGGACCGCATGCCGGCTGAGGCCCTGGCCCTGCTGGACCACATGCTGAGGCTGGACCCCGGTAAGCGTATCACCGCAGGCGACGCCCTCAACAGCCCCTGGCTTAAGAACGTAGACCCTGAGAAGTGAGTCATGGGCAGGAGTGGGTCATGCTGGTAAAAAGTGGGTCATGCTGGGTAAAAAGTGGGTCATGCTGAGTGAAGAGTGGGTCATGCTGGTAAAAAGTGGGTCATGCTGGGTAAAAAGTGGGTCATGCTGAGTGAAGAGTGGGTCATGCTGGGTGAAAAGTGGGTCATGTTGGGTAGAAAGTGGGTCATGCTGAGTGAAAAGTGGGCCATGCTGGGGGAAAAGTGGGTCATGCTGGGGAAAAGTGGGTCATGCTAAGTGAAAAGTGGGTCATGCCGGGTGAAAAGTGGGTCATGCTGAGTGAAAAGTGGGTCATGCATCATTATGCATATATCAGCACTCGTATCATTCAGCATAAGATATTAAATTGGATGGTAAATCTTAGAACATAAGCTATCGTTTACTTTCAAAGGGTAGGAGTGGGGGATTCAAGACAAGTAAATTGAAAAGTCCGTCTATGGACATGTAAATGCAAAAGTTTATTTATGAACATGTAAACTCGAAATTCTGTGGATATGTACGTGCTAAGTGCTATCGAAAACAATGAACATAAGTGAGTGAATCTAAGAAGCGGCGTTAGGATAATAAAGTTTGGAGTGTAAGTCTGAGACCGTGTACGTTGAGATCTACGTTTTAAAAGACGTAGAATGAGGGATAACTGCTGTAGAGTAGAACCTGAACTACAGATGTTCCGGTTACTTAAAATATTGGTCATATTACTGCAGTCCGCATACCTTGGTAACGTTGGTATTAGAACTTTAGCTTAGGGTTATCCTACTTTAACTTACGGTTATCTTACTTTAACTTACGGTTATCCTACATATCCTTATCCTTACGGCCTACATATGTCACTGGCATTTCAACTTGACATAGGAATTCTACTTTCCTAATTGATTGTACTTGTGTTCTAGGATTTTGAACTGACGATGGAGCTGGCCTTGAAGCTTCTTCTCTTAAAAAGAAATGGTTCATTTTTTCGCTATTTTCATTGCTTTTAAATTGTTGGTAAATTGGCGATTTAAATAATTAAATGATCTTAATACTTGACCTGACATGAGATGTTATCGCCCTGGTTCTGCCACAGGGTCTATTTATTCTGACCCTAATTATACATAGAGACTTGGTAACTTGTCTCTGGTCCGTACGACTGTCACTGATTTCTATGGCAGAATAACGCTCGCAAACCACAGCTCATTTTACATTACCGTCCCATAACTGAAGCGCTAGAAGGCCCTTATCTTTACATCGATATTGCTACAAATACTAGCACAACTAGTACTACGGCTACTCATTTTGCTTATGTATCCACCACCAAATTTATTATCACTCTGTCGCTGTGTGTGGCGATAAATAGCCCGCGATCGGAAAAGACAAATAACTGTTTAGCCTTCAGCGTTCATCTTGCTAATGCAAACAATGAGATATGAGTTATAACTCTGGGTCATGAAACTACAAAGTGTGCCATGAAAGTTAATGTTTGCAATACAGTAATCCTTGAGCTATCGCAGGTGTTAGGTTCCAAACCTCGACCGCGATGACGAATTGATCGACTGTTTGTAATTATCTTATTGTTTCTTTTGTAGTTATTTAGTATGTGTTCATTGTTTTAAGTGTCATTTATACCAGTCGAGTTCCGCATGTTGCTAAAATCTCCCGATTAACTAACTCAGAAACCTACGAAGATCCGTGTATAATTTTTCGCATTAATTATGCTTAAATTAACAGTTTTCATTAGTTAATGGTACTTCTGATTAATATCTCTTGACAACCTGCGATGAATCAAAACGCGATATAACGAACGATTACTGTACAAGACGTCACAGCAGTCGTACATTGTAAAGACTGGCACTGCTCCATTAGGTTTATTAGGATTTTTAAAAATTTTAGGTGAATAATATCTGTGAGAAAAAAAACGGATTCCGGAATTTGTGGTGTGCCGATCAGTGAAGAATAAACATTACCCTAAATTTGTTTTGATCAAAATATTTAAATAGCAACTGCCGTCATCAGTGAGACGCAAAATTTTCCGATCATCTTTAATGAAAGTTGATATACAAAGTCAACATTCGTTATTTGCCAGTTTTTTATGTTATTGATTGTAAAGAGAAACTTGAAAATCATTTTTACGCCGTTTTGATTCAACTAAATTAATGTACTGTTGCGAGATGCACCTAGCTGTATTAATGTATAGCTTGGGTTGATATTGTATTAGTATTACTACCAATCATTAAACAAATTTATGAAACATTTAAGGTTGCACAAATCGATGTAACAGTTGCTTTAGTTTTGCATACAATTGAGCTTTGAACTTTATAGTTAGCTACTGCGATGAAATTGCTTGCATGTCGATTGTTTTCAAGAATATTTGTTTGCTTTAAATGCTGCCATTGATATTCATTAATTGATTTCTTTTTCTCTTTCTCCACCTTCCACCTACTCTTCTTCCATCTTCCACCCACTCTTCCTCCACCTTTCCCCTCCCCCGCAATCAGGACTGCCACGAGTTGTGGAGCAAGCGACGCAAGCGGCAGCTGAAGGAGCAGCAGCAGGGCAGCAATGCTGCACCTGCTGCTGCACTGCAGCACGAGCAGCAGCAGCCGCTGAGCTACGCGCAGCACCGCGAGATGCTGCAGCGCCAGCAGCACCAGCAGGGCGCCGCTTATAAGGCCCCTGAGGAGACAAACCCCGTCGGGGAAGATCTCCCCATACTCCACAACCCCGGGGGTAACGGGGTACATATTCCCCCAGCAAATGGTGGCGGGGGTAATAATGGGGTTGGTGGATATGGTGGTGGCGGTGGTGGGGGTAATTATGGCGGTGCGGGGAACGATGGTGTTGGCGGGTTGCCGGAATTCGACGAAGATTCATCGTCTCGAGGACCGATAATTCCTGATCCCCTCGGGGGACCTTACCATCCCGACGGTCCCAATGTTGCTGGGGGGTCCTCACCCCCGCCCCGACCCCTGAACCTTCTTAACGCTTCTCGGGGGAGCATTTCCCCCGGCCTGCCCCCCCGTGGTGGGGGACCATTGGGGGTGCACAGGTCGGTGGGGCACATGGCCCACCTCATCGCCTCCCGTCAGGGCCTCAACTATGGACACGTCGCCGCCCTCACCAAGGAGCCGGTGAGTTGAAATGACGTGTCAACACGTGCAGTGACGTGTTGACGTGCAGTGACGTGTTGACGTGCAGTGACGTGTTGACGTGCAGTGACGTGTTGACGTGCAGTGACGTGTTGACGTGCGGTGACGTGTTGACGTTCGGTGACGTGTTGACGTGCAGCGACGTGTTGACATTTTCATATTAAACTGAATTTCTTAACCTGATTCATAAGTTGAATTTTGATGTCTGCATTTTATGTTGATTTATTTTTCTCTTTATCTTAGCGCGTGGCTAGAATGACGAGAGCTATTTTACATCGTACAAGTTTTTGCGAAAACTTGAATTTTTGGAACCTGTTCAAAATAAATTTACGGTACTATGGAATCATAATTTAGAAAAAAAAATTATTAGGAGTAAAACTCATAATACCTGATATATTTTTTCGAAATGTTTATACTTTGACAAAATAAAAAAAAAAGTCGATTATCGTTATGTTTGATATATTTCGTCGATAATATCCTATTAAAATTTAAGCCTTTTTATGTCTCGTCGTTCTATTTGCATGCGTCTCATGTAGAAATGTACCTATCGTTAAATGCATTGCCTTGAAAAGTAAACTTATTTATGTAATTCTTGTTGTAATAGGTCAAATGAGAATTGTATTTATAAGATTTTATAATGAGTGACATGCATCTTGCCTGCGCGTTTGAGAGCCGTGACGACTAAGGTAAGCTTTTTCGATGCATTCGTGCACTACAGGGCCCATACTATCAAAAAAAGTTAAGAGATCGTAAGTTCATCAGCCAATCATTGACGGCCTTTCAAGCAAAATCCGCCAATCATAGACAAGAAAATAGAGCGTAAGTACTTACGTTCACTTAGCGTGTTTTGAAAGTATGGCCCCAGATTTCGCTGCAAAAGCTATTTCGTTTTACAAACATTTATTGCCAGGGGCTGCAGTTCAACGGACTTCCAGCACGGAACAAGATATTTCCTATTCAACCTAATCGCGGATTTTCTTGTCCAGTTTATCTTATTAGTTTCTCAAAATTTATTTTTCTTTGAGCCAATACTGGTTTAGTTACGATTGATAATTTACAATTTCGAAGCAAATTACGACGACTCTTGACGCGTTTATTCGATGTGCAAAAATAAAATAGTGAATCGGCGTCCATTAAAATTTTTCAACAAATTCTGCAGTTTCATCAGCGAATCCTCGATATCATTTTTAGTATTAAATTCCTCACGGCACAATATTGAATGTTCCCTCCCATGACAAGCGTAATTATGTGAAGCTTCTCACACGCTTTTGCATGCCTATGACCAACAACGGCTCTGAGAACAGCTGATCCTCTGAGAACAGCGGATCCTCTGAGAACAGCTGATCCTCTGAGAACAGCTGATCCTCTGAGAGCAACTGATCCTCTGAGAGCAACTGATCCTCTGAGAACAGCTGATCCTCTGAGAGCATCTTATTCTCTGAGAACAACAGCTGATCCTCTGAGAACATCTTATTCTCTGAGAACAACAGCCGATCCTCTGAAAACAGCTGATCTTCTGAGAACAGCTGATCCTCTGAGAACATCTTATTCTCTGAGAACAACAGCTGATCCTCTGAAAACAGCTGATCCTCTGAGAACATCTTATTCTCTGAGAACAACAGCTGGACCTCTGAGAACAGCTGATCTCCTGTCTCCTCTGCCGTTAGTTCCTTGACAGGAGAAAGCCTTCATATAAAATTATAAATCATCGACGTGATGTTTTGGAAGTACAGCAGTTGTCGGGCATTTTTTCGACAACTGCGTCCATTCATGCCAGGTTTATGTATGTACCTAACTGATAAATCATTTTACTCGCGTTTGTACTGCTCGTTTTTTCGAGGATAATTTTCAGCAACGACTCGTGACGTCTTCGCTCGCGTTTCTGAATTTCTGCTATGAGGTACAAAATTATTTTTTTTTAATACATGATCATTGTGTTGTGCTTTCGATCGTGTGTACGTCTTTACCTCACTGATCTGATGCACGCGAACTTTCAACATTGGTCACTAGCGTTCTCTTGCTGAACGTCTAACTCCTTATAAAATTTCAAGGTCTGATCATTCAACACTATGAAATAAATATAATATATTTGTTTTAATTAAACAACGATATTATACCCTTATGCATACAGAACGAGGACATGAAATTATTGATGAAATTGATTGTTTTCTGAAATTTTGCTACATCGCTATCGAAAATGCTACGGTGAGCAAAATTTAAAAAGTTATCATTTTGCTTTAATTTAAAGCTAACTTTTTTCATCGTATTCCTCCTTGCCTACTTGCACGTATGCAAGCAATGAGGAGCGGTATATCTTGATAACGTGAGGAAATATTAAGAACATAATAATAATATTCATGGTATTAATCATTAAAATTAATACCATGAAGAATAAATGCATCTAACCCTACAAATGGCGATGTTTGGGACGTAGCAGTCCCAGGCCACGATGGATCGCCGCCGCTGATTATCGTTCATCCGCCCTTATTTGGGCCAGCTGATGCACGATGCTGTTGAAAACAGCTCGAATTTAGAAGCCGCGTTCGGTTTTGAAAACAAAATTTATTCACCGAATGTATTTAGGCTTGGAAGGGTTCGAGTCAGGAATTTTTGGAATCACGTAGCACCGCAATACTGTTTTATTATTATCGAAGAGTTTGGTGATCCGTTCGTGATGTTCAACAATGTCGGCTTTTCTCCTGAACTTGTAATAAGTCTAAAAACTTCCATCATCTTTCACCAATTATGAGATTTCAAGTGAAACCCAGTAGGCATATATAAATTAGTTTTTTTTTTTTTGTTATAAATTAGTTACTTGCTAATGGGCAATATATCAGTTTCGTTCGATTTTTATTTTGATATCTTAAATAATACTTCACCTATCACCAACGCACAGCATTTTGATCTCACTTTCAAATATAATTCTCGTCTCGTGAATTTTTTGTTGGTGTTATTGTATTTTTGTTGAGTAATGAGATGCTCTATTGTACCAACTCCATCAGAGAGAATAAACTCGGCCTTCATCAAGTCCTGCAGCGATCCTTCTCCTTCAAGAGGAATTCTCTTCATCCACGACCCATGAGGATGCAGCTGGAAACTCCTTTGCTTGTGTAATAATTGCCAGATTTCGGGATATGAAGCTACTTTAATGTGCATTCAGTAGCCAGTCCAGATGTGAGAACTCTGTGAAAGGTATACTTATGAGAAAGCGGTATACTCTTGAGCACTCCAATTTTAAGGCATACCGGTACTCTTTAGAACGCACATTATTGGGAGGTATGCTTCTGTGAAAAGTATACTTATGAGAAATCCGATTCAGCGGTATACTCTTAGAGCACTATCATTTTTAGGCACACTCCTTAGAACTCACCTTATTGGGAGGTATGCTTCTGAGTACTCACATGGTAAGGTATCCTCCTGAGACCTCGAATTAAGAGGGATAGTCTTGAGAATCCCATTTTAAGGCATACCGGTACTCTTTAGAACGCACATTATTGGGAGGTTTGCTTGTGAGTACTCACATGGTAAGGTATCCTCCTGAGACCTCGGATTAAGAGGTATACTCATGAGAACTCTCAACGGAGGTATATTATCGAGGACTCTCAACGGGAATTATACATACACGTGATTATTTAATGGACTGATATATTCGCAAGTACTCGCACTGGAATGAAATATCGTTGTACGTTTCCAAGTCTGCCATCGAGTGCCAGCTGAAGAGAAATAAAGGCTTCGTACACAGTTACTTGTGATGGCTAACCGGCCGCCCCTGTAAATATCTATTCATAGTGCCGTTCATGTCGGAATAAAACGAATTTCTACTACAGTTATGTTGATCATACTATTTATACCCCTACTAACCGTGTACACTCAGAGAAATGAGTGAGATTTTGTCCGAATAGCAATGCACTTTTTGCCCCGTGAGTGTCATTCTGACACCATTTTTACCCCTTAAAAAAGACGACGTTTCAGCGCGGGTGCTCGTGGTTTCAGTAATAAAGTGAATAAAAATTTGGACAAAATGACCCATTCATTTTCTGAGTCATAGAAACCCTGATGTGTAGACTATGTGATTAGTGGTAAGGCGTCTGTATCATCGTCACTATCAGTGATAGATAATTTACGAAGAAGCCATTGTTCTTTATATTTTAAATGGCAGAGAAGCAAAGGTCACCGGAAACAGATGTAGTTGACAATTGTTCAACAGTTGTTTGAAGGCCACATTATTGAGGTGTAATGGATGGTCGAGTGTGGAGACCTCGTGACAGAGATCCACCCAATTTTCGCCTTAAGGTTTAACATTGTCTCGTGATATATAACTCGTTTATAGATTAAATGTTTGTACTACTCGTATTAGCGGAAACTGCGGGCGCTGCTAATATATGTGGTTCCAGCTGACATGTGAAGTTGAATTGACTCTGATTAATCGTTTTTTCGACAAAATCGACTCGTAATAAAAGTCTTTTTACCATCATTACTCTGAAATGAAATATATTTAACGATCGCTTGTCGAGCCAACACAGCTACTTGCATCCGCAATGCATTCGTACTTTTAAAGGTGCACATTTGTAATCAAGTTAAACTTGAACAAACTCTCACCTGCAATACATTTAAATGCCAATAATAGTACGAATTAGCAGCCAATAAATTGAGACGACCATATAGTTTGACAAGGTTCTCAAGTGGGCAAAAGTTTATTCCTGTCATATTTTTGTCACCCCAGAATATATTCCTGGGAAAGATTCTCAATTATATTGGACTATTTGAATAACGAAATGTTTATAAATTCTTCAAAAAATTGCATTAACCCGTATTTTTCATACGTAAGCTCCATTGTATTTAATGAAGAAACATAGGCCTAAATTAACGACTGAAGTTGAAACTTGTATATAGTGTAAAGTTAATGGATTAAAAAAACACTTCAGTAATGTTCTAGGTTACTTATACTTAAGTATCTGCCCATGTCAGATAAATACATTTTAGAATATATTGCGCTTTCTGTTTATTTTGGAAAGGCCTTCAAGTGTACAGTAGATTTAATTGAAGAGGTTGTTTGTCGTTTTGTGGAAGTTTTTCAGTAATTTTTCAAATTTTCATTCGAAATTGATTCTATTTTCCTTCAAATTGATGATATTGCACATATATCATCAATATATTGCACATATATCACATATATCATCGTGGAGAACATGTCGTGTTGGTGGATATGCATGTCACGCATGTTCGCTGGTCGGTTATAACACCGAGTCTCTTTCTAGACATGTTCGCTATAATCCCCTTGAAAATAATAAGGATAGGAGCATATCTTCAAATACCAAGCTATTGAACTTCATGTAAGCGACCTCTTGTTCGAGTGTCTTTGTTTCTGTTGCTTTTCACCTGTCCCTCCTTGTCACTTCGTCTCTTTGTCACCTGTCCCTCCTTGTCACCTGTCCCTCCTTGTCACCTGTCCCTCCTTGTCACCTGTCCCTCCTTGTCACCTGTCCCTCCTTGTCACTTGTCCCTCCTTGTCACCTGTCCCTCCTTGTCACCTGTCCCTCCTTGTCACTTGTCCCTCCTTTTCACTTCGTCTCTTTGAGATGCTAACGCTGCTTCTTTCGAGCCAGTTTCAGCGGGCTGGACATCTGAGACCTTCCGCCCCTTGTGGGTGATGAATAATTGAGACCTTCCACCCCTTGTGGGTGAAGACCTATTTTTGATTTGAGAAACTTTTGATAATTGAGACCTTCCACCTCTTTAGTGATGTTCAAAATGACTTTCGGTGCGAGATAGCTAAATAGCTGAAGCGCTAGTAAACCTGTGGCCACTAAACTAACTAACTAAACTCATGAAGCACGTCTGTAATTGAAGAAAATATCTAAGCGTTACCGTACTCGTTATTATTACTTAACGGTTGTACATGTTACAGGTATTGCTGTTCCTTCGATTCCTCTAAGCCCAAGGTAGATAAATCCTCTTGATGATAGAAGCGCGAATATTAGGATATGTCATCAAGGATTTTGTAAATACAATAAAATATTAAGAATAATACAAAGGATCTTGAGTTTAACGCGCCTGTACTATTGTATTACTCTAAACATAGATTCAAAATCGCGTAAATGTTTTCTACGGAGATATTCATGTTCCCGCGTGCATTGATTCCTTGGATTTGGACACTTATTGTTCTTGTACATTGTTTACAATTTCAATTATTCCACGGAGAATATCGGTTTGTTCTATCCGTGTGTATTTTGTATTTATTGTATGCCTCCTACCAATATCCATACAAATGTAAAATGTATGGTACTCTTCCCTGTATCTTCTTATGTATAACATACAGCTGAAATGATGCTTCATGTTCAAGTGTTTGGGGTTAATTTAAATACAGCTTTAAAAAATTCAGTATTATTCAATTTTCCTTCAAGTACTTTTACTTTGTGTTTGAAAAGCTATCCAATATCTTGAGTATAATAACTACTGGAATAGAGAGCGTTATGTTATAAAATTGTGTTTATTGTTAAGCCGTATAATCTCGCCTTTGTAAGGAAGCAATGGAATGCATTTCAAGTTGTAATTAAACGGACGGAGAGTTTTTAGTTTAATTTAAGAAGAATTGTTTACTAAAAACGCGGTTAATGCTCATTATTTATGAAAATTATTTTGATGCGTTCTCGTGCACGTACCGAGACCCAAATTAATGATGGTTTTCACATATACGATTCTACACTCAAAAAATTTAGTGAGACTTCGTCCTAACAGCGATGCACTTTTTGCCCTAATATGGGTCATTCTGACCCAGTTGGGCCCGACAAAAGGGCGTATTAGTGCTACTTGCAAAGTGTTTATTACCCATTCATTTCTCTGCGTGTATTTTCGGTATTAGCGTAAATATAATGAGCCGCGTGCACTGACGTTATCTAGTCCTCTGAACTAACTCTTATCACTAACTACTTATCATACAAATGCTAATTACTTGCATACGAATATTAGCCTTAATTGCGCCCTATCGGTATTTATTACGACGTCTTAATCGCAATGTATTTGCTTTCTTAGAAAGATCTCACAATTAGATATTCTATCAAACAAATTTTCTGCGACAAATGTAAAAAAAATTGTAATCGTGTAGCGTCGTGGCTTGCTCTCCTATGCTTATTTTTTTTTTTTTTTTTGGGATAAANTTGTCTTGTGCGCGTGTAGACACGTCAGTGACGTGTTTGTTGTCTTGTGCGCGTGTAGACACGTCAGTGACGTGTTTGTTGTCTTGTGCGCGTGTAGACACGTCAGTGACGTGTTTGTTGTCTTATGCGCGTGTAGACACGTCAGTGACGTGTTTGTTTTGTGTGCGTGTAGACACGTCAGTAACGTGTTGGTGTTTCAATCTTCATTCTTAACCTTTCAGCGTTAAATCATAACGTTAAGTCTGAAAAATATGTCAATATATATTGTGTGTCCCGAAAACCATCGCTTCTGACCTGTGAGGGATTTAACACTTTTCATTGTAAACGAAAATCCCTCTCATCATTTTAATGGAATTTATCACTTGTTATTAAAAACGGAACTGATCCTCATCATTGTGTTGTAATTTTTCGCTTATCATTGCGAACGAAATTCTCCCTAATTATTTTAAAGGAAATTCTACCTGGTTATTCTTCTCAGTAGCATGGCTTAATAGCATAAATAGTATACTCTTTAACTATAGCATAAATAAAGGCTTCAGTTAATTATTCTCATTTCCCTACGAAAAGTCTTGTTCGATTTGTGAGTTCTCATCCTCAGATATAAAATTTAGCCCTTTAACATTACGTTATTGTAGGCGGTATTTACTTCTTACCTCGCTACACTTGGTGCAGTATTTACTGCTTACCTCGCTACACTTGAGGCGGTATTTACTTCTTACCTCGCTACACTTGAGGCGGTATTTACTGCTTACCTCGCTACACTTGGTGCGGTATTTACTTCTTACCTCGCTACACTTGGGGCGGTATTTACTTCTNCCGTACGTCTGCAGCATTAAGGGCGGCCGTACGTCTGCAGCATTAAGGGCGGCCGTACGTCTGCCGCATTAAGGGCGGCCGTACGTCTGCCGCATTAAGGGCGGCCGTACGTCTGCCGCATTAAGGGCGGCCGTACGTCTGCGGCATTAAGGGCGGCCGTACGTCTGCAGCATTAAGGGCGGCCGTACGTCTGCCATATTAAGGGCCGCTAAAATACGTCTCAATGAGTATCGGGAGGGAGGGGACTATCAACTTTAGAATAGAATAGAAGTGTCGGCGTTGAAGATATATGCCCATGGCCTTTTACCGATTCTTGAACTTTTCGTGACTTGATTCACAAGGGATCCGGCCTTTGGAACCCGATCTTTCCATAGCTGACGATTGATTGAGATAGCTGCTGGACTTATTGCCTGGTCCGTAATTTGCTAGGCATTTTAAGACTGAACATATGCTCCAGCATAGCTTCGTCTGGACTTATTGCCTGGTCCGTAATTTGCTAGGCATTTTAAGACTGAACATATGCTCCTGCTTAGCTTCGTCTAGTCTGTTTTTGAAGATGTTCATACTCGGAGCGTCAACGATGCTATCAGGGAGGCTGTTAACTTTACACCTCCTACCTCCTCTTGCGCCGATGTTGACGTGTTATGAAAATTGTTTAATTACGATTTTAGCAAATATTGTGCTCGAAGTGCTTCTGCCCCTAACGCGTTCATATATTTACAGAAAATAACCATCAGTTTCTATGCGATGATTGTTATAACTGAAGCACCTTACTAAATTACCATGGGTTAATTGAACCACTAAAATGACAAAAGTAATGAAGCCAGTAAAATTATCATGGGTTAAATGAGCAACTAAAAGTACCATAGTAATTGAGCCACTAAAATTACCAGGGGTTAATTGCATGAGGGACAATTATTATTGTTTACCATGCGTACCAATCAATAATATTTTTCACGTTTTAATGAATACTACCTCGATATTCCCTGAAGATGATGCTCTGTTAAATATAATGTTTAAATATTTTGAATATCCTTATGAAGTTCCCGGGACGTTGACCCATTATTGCCGCTGCGTTATTCCCGAGACAATGACCCGTTATTCCCGGGACGTTGACCCATTATTGCCGCTGCGTTATTCCCGGGACGTTGACCCATTATTGCCGCTGCGTTATTCCCGGGACGTTGACCCATTATTGCCGCTGCGTTATTCCCGGGACGTTGACCCATTATTGCCGCTGCGTTATTCCCGGGACGTTGACCCATTATTGCCGCTGCGTTATTCCCGGGACGTTGACCCATTATTGCCGCTGCGTTATTCCCGGGACGTTGACCCATTATTGCCGCTGCGTTATTCCCGGGACGTTGACCCATTATTGCCGCTGCGTTATTCCCGGGACGTTGACCCATTATTGCCGCTGCGTTATTCCCGGGACGTTGACCCATTATTGCCGCTGCGTTATTCCCGGGACGTTGACCCATTATTGCCGCTGCGTTATTCCCGGGACGTTGACCCATTATTGCCGCTGCGTTATTCCCGGGACGTTGACCCATTATTGCCGCTGCGTTATTCCCGGGACGTTGACCCATTATTGCCGCTGCGTTATTCCCGGGACGTTGACCCATTATTGCCGCTGCGTTATTCCCGGGACGTTGACCCATTATTGCCGCTGCGTTATTCCCGGGACGTTGACCCATTATTGCCGCTGCGTTATTCCCGGGACGTTGACCCATTATTGCCGCTGCGTTATTCCCGGGACGTTGACCCATTATTGCCGCTGCGTTATTCCCGGGACGTTGACCCATTATTGCCGCTGCGTTATTCCCGGGACGTTGACCCATTATTGCCGCTGCGTTATTCCCGGGACGTTGACCCATTATTGCCGCTGCGTTATTCCCGGGACGTTGACCCATTATTGCCGCTGCGTTATTCCCGGGACGTTGACCCATTATTGCCGCTGCGTTATTCCCGGGACGTTGACCCATTATTGCCGCTGCGTTATTCCCGGGACGTTGACCCATTATTGCCGCTGCGTTATTCCCGGGACGTTGACCCATTATTGCCGCTGCGTTATTCCCGGGACGTTGACCCATTNAGCGAGGTTTGGCAGCGTGCCATCATGAATGCGGGAAAGAAGAATCTTGGATCTTTGGAGGCGTTTGTCAACAACTTGAGCAGACAGTTGGTGTTTTTTGACATGCTTGAATGGGGACAACTTAAGGTCCTTCCGGAGAACAGTCGGCATTTTGAAAAAAAAAAACAATGTAACGTTAAATATTGATGACCCTTTATACTTATAGGTATGTAAAATCATACAATGTAATATTATCAAATATAATAATATATATTATTATATAAAATTCTGCATAATTTTTAATGGCCACATCATCAAATTAAATTAAATTAATTAATTTAATTTAATGATGTGGTGAAGGTGAGTGTGATGCATTAATGGTGACAGACGCGAGTGTGCCGCCCGACGACCTCTTCACGGAGGCCGTGCGCGTGTGTCTGGACGACCTGCTGGAGACCTGTCGCTGCCCCCCGCTGGAGGTGCTGCTCCAGGGGCACCCCGACCCCAGATAGCCCCTCTAAACCCCCCTCAGCCCCTCCTTACCCCAGCCCCTCCTTACCCCAGCCCCTCCTTATTCAGCCCCTCTTTACACAGCCTCTCATCCTTAGCCCCTCTTCCTTTGCCCCTCTTCCTTTGCCCCTCTTCCTTTGCCCCTCTTCCTTTGCCCCTCTTCCTTTGCCCCTCTTCCTCTGCCCCTCTTCCTTTGCCCCTCTTTCTTTGCCCCTCTTCCTTAGCTCCTTTTCCTTAGCCCCTCTTTCCTAGCCCCTCTTCCCTAGCCCCTCTTCCTTAGCCCCTCTTCCTCAGCCCTCCTACCCAAGCCATTCTGTCTCTCAGTTAATGTTTGTTATGTTTATTTTTATTTTCAATGTAGTCTTTTCGTTCAGTTCCACATTTTTCTTCATTGCAAGTTTTCCATGTTCCATGCTTCAACATATATTGATTTGTTGAGTAAAAAATCAGTAGGTTATGTAAATATAATCGAAACATGAAGAAAGATATGTACAAGTTTTAGCGCTATAAATCTTATGGAATATTTCACCCACATTTTTTTAATATACGTTTGCTCAGTGGAGCATAAAAAATGTGTGTCCTAATACTGTTTTTTTCATGATTGGATCGATCATAACTATTGGATTAATTTATTGATGACTTTGAACTGGTCAAAGAGATTCAGCTGCAAATAATCTTTTCTGATTTCAAAATCGATTGAATTCTAAGAGTTTGATTGCGCCTATTTTCGCGAACACTTGAATACATTCTTCTATAATTTAGAGAGCTTGTGCTTATTAACTTGATTTAATATCACCTCACCTGTTGCTACCAACAAATGTGACCGTAAACTTCAATTAAATATATTTAATTATATGAATAAATTAAAATGAAATGTAGAAAATTTTGAAATAAAAACGAAATAAAGATAAATGGTGCTCAGCAACTGAAAATATTGTTATAAAAAAAAACATCAATTTTTTTAAGCGCTCCACAAGGCAGAAAACTGGACGTCTCTAAAATATTTTAACGTTTTTTTTTTTTTAAGTTTACGCATTATATTTTTGTAACTCATGCTTGTGGAAAAGAGTGCACATTTCTGGCAGCAAATTCATTTTTCTTTATCTGATGTTATTTAGGGAATTATTCATAAATTTATCGAGTTCTTCCGCTTTAATGGATGTTCACAATTTCATCTAAGATGAACTGGTTGCTGCATAATATCTTCTGTATTGTACTTTGAATGTTATGTGTCTGTAACAATATTATTCTATTGTTACACCGCAGTACTTAATTATTACAAGTTACTTCTTGTTACATGCATTCGATTATGCGTTATACTTTACTTCGTAGTATATTTTTTTGGCCGTGTTTTACACGATTGTAATTTTTATAATTATTAATATTTTTATTATTATCATTTTTTCCCCGTGTTTTTCGCGATTGTAATGTTTTATAATTATTAATATTTTTGTTATTATAATTTTTCCTTTTTTTTCTTTTTCTGAGACGTAGTTGGGCTTTGTAGTCATCAAGTCATTTGATTTTACATATTGTAAATAATCAATACGCCATTTGAATATTGTGAATATTTAGTTCTACATGTGGCGTTAGCGTACGAATGTATATACTGCCTATTGTGTACAATACACCCACTGTATATCGGCATTGATTCTCGTGTGGGGCGGTGAGTTGTACAAAAGAAAATAACTCCCATTATTTTTCTCCGTGTTTCACCTATCTTTTTAGGTCAACATTAGCAATCGTATTGAGCTTACCTGGTCTCGCTGGTATCAAATTTGAAATGTCTTCATTATGGATGCGAGTCTTGTATAAACTCTTGAAACTACAACATTATCATCGTAAAATTTTATGCGAGACTTGTATTAACTCTTGAAACTACAACATTATCATCGTAAAATTTACGATGATTGTAAGTTGTATAGCTCTGAGTGTTTAATAGGTTAGTCAATCCTGAATGCTAGTGCGGAACTGTGGCACGGAAATGATTATATTGTGATGTGATAGTGATTAAAAGGCCAGACATCACAGTCTGATGGTTATTATTATTTATGGGTTGTTGGTACATTCCGTCAGCCCGATGTTGTTCCATAATTGTTATGGTGATATTTTTTCCATCATTTTTAATTGTTAAGTGAGATAAGTTGCTTCAATTGACATTTGATTGAAATAGAAATACATTTGTGAATACGGAAGTCTTTCACTGCCTAAATTGATTTTATTGATGAACATCGTTAGATAACATAACATAGTGATGTCGGCGCTGAAGCGTAGGCCTGATGTGGCCTGTCGCCGATTCTTTTCCTTTTCGTGCCTTGTTCACAGAAGATCTAATATCGTGTCATTTGACCGGATCTTTTCACGACTGACGATAGTTTGAAGTAGCTACTAGACTTCCACCGGGTTCGATATGGTGCTAGGCATTTCAAATCTGAACATATATTTCTCCATAGCTTTATCTAGTCTGTTCTTGAACGCGTTCATACTTGGAGCGCCAACGATGACATCGGGGAGGCTGTTCCACATGTCGCTGATTCGAAGCGAGAAGAAATTTTGTCGCGTGGAGAAGTTGCAGCGCAATTTTTTTAGCTTATAGCCGTGGCTCCTGGTGTTGGTTCTTGTTTCAAATTCTAGTAACCCTTCAGGGACCTTGTATAGACCATGAGTATACTTGTATACTTCAATGAGGTCCCCACGAAGACGAAGAGATGTTAGTTCTTAGATGCTCGTTAGTTGTCTCGATCTGAAAAGCAAATTTTTTATGCTACAAATGATGAGCTAGAAAATATTTACACGATGATGGATGTAATAAATTAGGGCAGTTTTGCAAAAAACTGCCCTAATTCTTGCAAAACAGACTTCTCTTCACATATATTTTCGAAATTCTATTGCCATTCTGCATGAAATTACTTTTTTCATTTTCTTATGTTTCAGAAAATACGCTGGTATTTTTGCTTATCCGCCTAAATCTTGCATGTTCACCTGTGAGTTCGGAAAAGTTTCGATTGTGTGTTTATTAAAAGCAAATATTACATACGATGGCAATTTGAGAATTGTGAAGATCGCTAATTGTAGCGGCCGTTCCACCCTATTTGATTTTCCACGTTCACTCGAATTAGCAGCAAGAGAATTAGCTTACTAGACGTATAGTTCATTTCACGTAGAAGTGTCGGCACTGAAGAAATAGGCCCATGGCCTGTTGCCGATTCTTGAACTTTTCGTGACTTAATTCACAAGGGATCCAGCCTTTGGAACCCGATCTTTCCATAGCTGACGATTGATTGAGATAGCTGCTGGACTTATTGCCTGGTCCGTAATTTGCTAGGCATTTTAAGACTGTCCCACGCAGACGTCGATAACTGAGGCTTGGAAGCTTCATAATCTTTAATCTTTCTTCATAGGACTTGCCTTTCAAGCCCGGAACTATCACACGCACCACAGCATTCATTATTTTTACCTAGATACTCATGCCTGCATACCCGATTAACCAAACTATTCGATTAGTTAGATTTATCGTTTGATTACTTGAATTATTGATTATCCCATTTCATTGTTTTTGATTTGTCTTGGTTCATATATTGTCGTTTCATGTATATATGGTGAGTTATTCTTCGTATATTTTTCTTATTTACTTTCTTGTTTTCTTTCTAGAAATCGTACGTAATGGAAAACTCGTCTTTTATCCTGCCATGATGGCGCGGCTTGGAATAGCTTTGCAAAGTTACCAAAGGACTTGCCTACAAGAAAGTCCTTTACAATAAGTTACAATAAGGCAATACAATAAGTAATAAGACTTTACAATAAGTAATAAGTCCTTTACAATAAGCCTGTCCAAACACCGTGGAAAACTTTAACTTCTGCGGTTCTCGTTGGTCTTTTCTACTCAGGGAACTGGATATAACTTCGTCCTAATAGCGATACACTTTTTATCCTTTAGTGTGTCATCTTGACCCAGTTTGGCCAGGTAAAAGGACTCGTCAGTTTCACGCGGCGGTCACATCATGCTGTGAGTAAGAAGTATTTATATTTTACGACCATTTCAATTGTCGAAATTGAGCCATCCTTCTACATCTTTTTATTGCCATCCTCTTCATCTATAAAATTGCTTATTATATTACACAAGATGCCATTGCTAATGATACAATAATAACGTTTTACGTTCTTGAGTAATTCTGACATAAATATTCAGTAAAACTATGCGTTGTTTTCCCGCAAATGTCGGATCTAAATATTAGAACTCGATTTCTTCTAGGCTTTTCAGTTGCCGCAATTCTTGAACAGGCAACAAAATTACTTGAAATATGTAACATTTCAACTATTGTGAATAATTTTATACCAGATTTGTTAGCAATTGAACTTTAATTTCATTCAAGTTATTTCAACTGAGTTTGCGTAATTTTCGTCAATACGACAAGATGTTGCATTCGTTGCTCAAATCCGTTGTCATGGCAACGCGAGCGCTGGTATATGCTCAATATGAACGATTTTTACACTTGTACTATATTTTGTCTATTCAGAATACATTTAAATTGTACTCCAATACAGAATTTGCATGTCTGAAGTTCATGTACATTCTAAAGCTCAATCTTTGTTGGTGGCTCATTGCATTCACAAAGTGTCTCAATCGTACAAAAACTATGCTGACTGATAAGCTACAATACTCAATATGGAGAATTTTTTATGAGATAATATTTAGGATAAATTTCTACAATTGCAAGTTAATTTATATTTTAAACTTTATGCATTCTTACGTTCTTGACTGCGCATGCGTAAGATTTATAGAAGAATGGAACGCAGACTTCGCTCGCACGCTTTGCGAACAGCAGTTGTGAGTGACTAAGGCAAGCCGTGCAACTTCCGTAGATTTTCGTCGAGTGTAAATGTAAGTTATATGTAACATACGGCTTATCAATACACGATCAATTCAACTTGTGCAATGCAATCGACAAATACGATATGTATTTTTATACTAATGCATCGTTCTTCAATTTTTCGAACACATTTGTTTACACTTGCACTTATATGTATTCATTTTTAAAGTTTCAATAAATGACATATAATAATAGTTTCTTCAATTGATTTTCTTTCGTGCTGAAAATGAAACGGTTTTGTTTTCCTTTATGCAACAAGCAATCAGAAAACCTAAACATGTTAACCCCTTTTAATTTGACCTTGTATCGATCTTGACCTATATTGTGAGACCTCACGACAACGTCGGCTGCAATATTCAGACGAATTCCTTATCCATGAATGTATGGCATTACAAATTATAATAATTCTGGGTAATTCGTACACTGTTAGAAAAAACGGTGAAAAACGGTCCCACTTGCGTTTTAGTGGCCGGTCGCCCCGTGAAAATAAACTGTTTCGCCGTTTTTATCCGATATTTTACGGATTTCTAGTGTTAAATTAGAATAAAAACGGCGACACGGTGTTTCTTTTCACGTGCCGACCGGCCGCTGAAACGCCGGTAATACCGTTAACGCCGGTAATACCATTAACGCCGGTAATACCGTTAACGCCGGTAATACCGTTAACGCCGGTAATACCGTTAACGCCGGTAATACCGTTAACGCCGGTAATACCGTTAACGCCGGTAATACCGTTAACGCCGGTAATACCGTTAACGGTAATTTTTCTAACAGTGTATGCGCTGATATTTGCAAGATTTCCTGGAATTGGTACGCTAATTTAATGTTATTGATCAGCTTAAGAATTTTTAATCGATTCTCAATGTTATGGATAAGATTAAAATTATTAATCAATTCACCTTAATATTTTATTAATATTAGGGTACTGAGCAGCGTCCATTGTAACCGATCGTTGTAATGCCAAGATATATAGTCTACCTCTTATTATTAGCATTATAATTATTAATCCCATTTCAAATTACATACTGATACAAATAAACATTCGATAGGATAATCAGTCGCTAATATGTTGCATCAGGACAAATCCAGCTTTTATTATTATATTATTATGATACATATTTATTTACATGCCATTATATTATTATATGCCGGTCTAACGGCCTAACCAAAGATGACATCGCTACACATTATGCTATATCATATACAGTATGATATATCCCATCATTACTCCGTATCATGGACCGTATGTTATTACAGTAAAGATGACATCGCTACACTATATCATATATACCATCATTTCTCAGTATGTTATTACAGTAAAGATGACACCTCTCCGTATGTTATTACAGTAAAGATGACGTCGCTACACTATATCATATATACCATCATAACTCAGTATATTATCACAGTAAAGATGACACCGCTACACTATATCATATATACCATTATTACTCAGTATGTTATTACATTAAAGATGACACTGCTACACTATATCAGATATCCCATCATTTCTTCGTGTGTTATTACAGTAAAGATGACACCTCTGCACTATATCATATATCCCATCATTACTCCGTATGTTATTACAGTAAAGATGACACCGCTACACTATATCGTACATCCCATCACACCGCTACACTATATCATATATCCCATCATTTCTTCGTATGTTATCACCGTAAAGATGTCACTGCTACACTATATCATATATCCCGTAATTTCTCCGTATGTTATTACAGTAAAGACGCAGCAGGCGTAGGCTCAGTATGGTGCTGGTCGGGTCGGGGGACGGTCACGTGCCGGCGGCGCTGCCGGCGGTGCTCAAAGAGTTCACGAAAGCTGCCATACGCACGCAGCCTCGAGATCTCCTGGTGTGGGCGCTCTCATACTTCAAGTAAATACAAATTAAAACAAAATCCTACATAATTTTACATAAAAAAATTAAAGAAAAAAATGCCCTTTTTAAGTAAATTATCTATGTAATTTTATATGACTATTGACTTTGTTTTTTTATTCATGTATCGTGAGATCATAATCAGGTAGAAATAACATTACACTCAAATTTAGTAGTGGTATTTCTACCATTACGAACCTCATACTTGAAAACGAATACCTCAGCCATCGCCGTCTATCATGGTTACTTGAATTGGTAATTCCGATAAACTACAAATTCGGTACGGTACTACACGGTCTCCGCTATCGTTTGCTGCTATAAATTAAACCCTTGTTTTGTGCGACGCTTTTGAATTTAAAGATTATTTTGTTACTTAAATTACTAAGATTAAGATTACTTTCTACTATAATAAATTTACTCTCGGAAATTTTATGTACTCTGAGATAACCAATTCAATCACTTCCCTACACCAACTTTGATGTCACATTGCAAGTGTAACGTAACGTGAATGTCGGGCACGCAGGTGCCTGGTAGACGGGACCGTCCCGCCCGTCAAAGACCGCCTGGAGTTCCCGGTACCGGTCTCGTCCGAGGGCATCTCGCCCGGCATACTGAGGGTTCTGCATCGTCAGGTAGTTGAGCGACCCTCGTAAAAACGCGAGATGAAGGAGATTTGAGGTGGTTATAAATGATGGGAGAAAATGATCAAAAACTATGAAGGGATCGGTTGAGTGGTAAAAAACGGCCGGGTGATCGGTAAAAAATAACCAAAAATGGCCGGGTGGTCGGTTTAAGCTTATAGAGTTCGGGTATAGTAGGGTTGTGAAGGGTTCAGGTAGGGTTAGGGTTATAAAGGCTTCGGCCGATGTCAAAAGGGTTCGGACTTAGACCAGCGGCAGATAGAATCGGACTTCGACCGATGTCAGAAGGGTTCAGCCGATGTTAGGAGGGTTTTACCGATGTCAAAATTGTTGATCCGATGCCAATATGATTCTATACTAAAGTCAAAAGGGTTCAGCCGATGAAAGAAGGGTTCGGCCAATGTCAAAAGGCTTAAGTCAAGTGAACCCCTGCAGCTGAGTGGCCGCAGCCCCGACGGGATGCTGGAGTGGCCGACGCTGGGGGAGGCGTGCCAGGCGATGGGTGTCCGGCGTCGCGCGGTCGAGGAGGCCTGGAACCTGACGGAGTCTCCTGACGGGGACGCGGGCAACCGCAAGCCCTGGGACCACCTCCTGTCCCACCTCGCAGGCCGCGGGGCCGCCGTTAGTATTGCACTTGTACTTTTGTGCTTAGACACTCAGAGAAATATTCTTCGATATTGTCCATATTACGATGAACTTTTGCGGCGTCACTGTTGGCATTTTGTTTATTCTTTTACGCTTTTACACGCAGGAAATGTGTGTGATACTCCATATAGCGATGAACTTTTGGCGCCGCTGACAGTATATCACTTGTACATTAGCGCTCATTCACTCAGAGAAATACGCTTGATTCTGTAACTAAAAATAAACTTTTTGCACTAGTGTGGTCCATTCAAATGGCGAAGCACTTATTGGTGCTTTTCTGGGTCATCCTGACAATTTTGCCGGGCAAAATGGTGTATTACTGCAAGGTCCGCTCTCTGCTTGAGTTATCGGCGACAAAGTGTGTCATTATTTTGATAATATGACTTTTTTTTGACTGACGGGTTAGTGACGTGTGCTGTAGAGTGTGGTGGAGGCCCTGCAGAGCGTTATGCAAGATAGTGACGTGTGCTGCAGAGTGTGGTGGAGGCCCTGCAGAGCGTTATGTAAGATAGTGACATGCTGCAGAGTGTGGTGGAGGCCCTGCAGAGCGTTATGTAAGATAGTGACGTGTGCTGCAGAGTGTGGTGGAGGCCCTGCAGAGCGTTATGTAAGATAGTGACATGCTGCAGAGTGTGGTGGAGGCCCTGCAGAGC